GTCGTCTTGTCACACTTTCTGATTGCCATAGTAACACAACGGCAAACGATAACGTTGTTGGGTTAGTGTTCATGAACAGATGTAGGAAAATGGAAGAACGTTTTGAGGGGCAGTATTTCTGATTAAAAACATTGTATTGCAACAAAACCTAAAAAGGGTTTGAGCCCAGCTTTAGCATACGATATGTGGACAATTAGGTGAAGGTATCCAGCCTCTGTATCGGGGTTTCTCTTTGGCGTAGTTTCAAACGTCTCGATTTAATATCAGATGAAGCAACACAGCAGCAAGCACAAAATGGAGCTGGGTCAAACACAGCAGTATCTGGGTTGCATGGATCTTGTGCTTTATGCAGGGTCTTGAGCAGAGAGATTATAAGAAGCCACTAATGGGCATAGAGATATTTGAGCCATGGAGGTAAATGCATTCTGGGAAGCATGGACAATCCCATTTCTCTTTGGGTGGGCTTGCTGTAGCTATCAAGGGATAGTGTATATACATATAAAGTTTGTCTTATTCTACGTTGTTCAGGGATGGAAAGGGAAAGTAGGGTTCAAATCATGCCTGATGCTCATGCTGTTTGTATACACCGATACCACGAACACAAAGTACAAATGGCTAAAGGGTTAGGTGTGGAGGTGACCTCGCCACGACCAGTCATGGTGCAAAAGGAACGGAGGGCTTTTTATGTGGTTTTTTTTATTGTATATTGTTTCAGTAGGCTTTTACCAGCGGTTGTTTCCTTTCTGGAGTGTGTCAAGTGGCTGTGTTTCTGTGGGTGTTTCCCGCGGCCTGCTCTCGTTGTCTTTGCCCTCTCGCTGCGAGTTGTGCGCATTGTGCTGGGGAGAGGGCAGCTGTGGTGTCTGTCTTGTCCTGGTGGAATGGCACGGCTGGCATGCCTGTTGGATCGCAGGCCCCTAGAAAACACAAGGCCAAACCCCGAGCTTTACAAGAGGAGCCGAGAATAGCCCGTCAGGTGCTGAATGCTTGTCACCCTGCGGCGTTGCGGAGTGGGAGAAGCAGGGAGTTTTACTTGAAACGATAAGACAGAATTACCGTTTCCTGTATATCAGGATGACGCCAGCCTTTCACACAAGGGCTATCCGAATTCTACCTTGCATTGTTTCTGCAATGGCTGTGCATCACAATTATTTTCACTGTGACAAATAGTGATTGCCCCCCCCCACCCCACCCCACCCCAGTATTTTTCCCGGTTTGTTTTCAGGAAATGATGGCAGATAGTCCTTCTGGGATTTAAATCAATCCAGCTGGGGTGGCTTTACTTTCTGTCCAGCGCTTTTCGACAGTTTTTCCATGTACTGTAGAGATTTTCCTCCAAAAAAAACATCCCCGCTGGTCATCAAGCTTAACTTGGCCAGTCATGTACATCTGACCCTCCTCTCTCTTTTCTTTTTGGGATCAGTGTGGCACAGCAATTGGTTTTAAAAAAAAATAGTTACTGTTAAAAAGTCACTGGGGAGCTTGTCTGCCGGATCATACTGCATATCCCAACAGAGTACTCAAATATGCATTGTATATTTTCACTCTGAGTGAGTGTTATTTTAACATTCATCATACGAAAACGGGCGATGATGTGTACGATGGCTAAATACCAGTCATTTAAAAATAAATGTTCGTTCTCTAGTAAAACTGAGCAATTTATATTTCGAAGCATCCAAAGTCAACAGTGTCTGGTTTAAGCTTTGTTTAGTGCTGTTCACAGTACTTTCTTCATGTTAGGTTAAACCCAAAGGTAGGTCTTTGTGCCAGAGAGCTCTGTCGACCATGTGCGGAGGAGAATTGCCTAAGCGGTATTGTGTATCCTTCTAATTTAAAAGCAGTTAGGTCTGTTAATTAATGAAATTTTACAGCTCTTCATTTGATGTACTATGAATTGATAGAATGCTCATTTTCTGTGTCTGTCTTTACTCTTAAAGGAGTGATTTATGTCCAAGTTGTTGAAGCTAATATGCTGATTTTTTCAAGAAATGGCTGGGTGAATTTTTCCTTGGGTTAATTACCTGCAAGCCATCACTGTCTTATTGAACTTCAGGTCTTTTTTTATTGTTAACCATGTTCTCTAAAGTTTGATGATAGGAGAATGAACACGGTCACAAAACCGAGAGGTGGAATGAAGTGGTACCCGTGGGCTTTGCTGAAAACAGACTTTGATATGTCTTTTTTTTAGTTGGATCCAATAGGTAAAAGAATGTTTTGTTAAATAAAAAGGTACATTTGAGAAGTGACTTTGGACTATGTAAATAGGAGCTTTGGACGATGTAAATAGGGCGTTTTTAAAGGCCAGGTCCTCTAAAGGTGTTTGTCCCTGAAGTGTGGTCTCTTTCTGCCTTCCTCAACAACAGAAGGCAGGGTGAAAAGGAAAAAGCTGTGAGGAGAGTTCCTGGGTTTCGGCTTTCCCTGCCCATTGAAGTCTTTGAGTGTTTAGAAAGGTCTCCGCTCCGATTTAAGATTTATGGCATTCGGAACGCAACAAGCAGTGCAGGAGAGAAGTACAAAGGCCCCTCTGTTCCCAGTCCTGCAGAGTGCTATTGTTACCGAGCAATGAAGACAAATAGGCTGGTTGGTCTTGAGAGATTCTAGGAATGCAGAGAAATGAAGAACACAGCTCGAGTGCGTTGCATGTTTTGAACACTGCATGCAAATTGGATAAGATCTTGACTAGTGCTCCTCGGACGTGAGGCATTAATGGCAGGCTTGCCTTTCAGATGCTTTTTGGAGTACATCGTGTCTGTCGCCAGATTTGGATGCCGGGTTAAGGAGCCAGTGCAGCGTTTCCGATTTTCACTTTTTCTTCTCTTCCAGTTAGATCAGGCTGACATCAGCTGGGCAGAGCCCTGTCCCGCAGATTTTGGGAGCTTCTCGGAATAAAAGTCAGATCTGCAGTTTGCTTCCCTGTGTAGGGCTCTGGCTTAGAGTAGAAATGTTGTTCCTCGTTCAGAAACCTGTGTAAACCAGTTTAGACTGTCTGTAAGTCCAAATAAACTTCAGAATTGACAGTTTGTTAGCTTCCCATAATTAAAAAAATAATGCAAATGTCCTATAAAATAATGTCAGAACTGCAGAATTCAATTGAAATAAAATTAGGTGTCTGGTTCCCTGTAGTTGAAATCAATTTTTGCAGTTGTCAGTTTTGCAGTGCCTTTTTGATATGCCACTCTAAGGGGTAAAAAACATGCTGTACCTTGTTCAAAATACATTGGAAGAACAGTTCAGTGCGTTTCCCTGGTAATTGATTAGAGACATAAAGGCATGCCGGCTGGAAAGAAAGAAGAAAAGATAAACAAGATCCTTGAATAAAGGTACAGCATAGCAATGTCTCTGAAAGATCTGTCGCCCCATTCATCTGCCTAGTAGCTTTCTGAGGTCTGCTTTTCATGAAATCAGAGCTTGTCTCTTTAGTGGCCCCATGCCATTTTTTCTGCTTTTGATTATGATGGTTGAGGTCACAAACGAAAGAAGAAAGCCTTCCCAGTCCCGGTCCGTTATCTGTTTATTGAGAGAGAGATCTTCTGTTGCTGCACTGTAAAAGACAAGCCCCGGCAGGGGCACGTTTACCTTTATTGAAACTTCCACAGTGACCTCGGCCATTGAATCCTCGCCAGGGTTTTGATCCAAGTCCCAGCGCCCGTCTGCAGCAGTTCCAAGCATGAACTTACGTCATCGGCCGTGGTTTAGGCTTGCAGTTGTCAACCCCAGCAATCTAGGCGGAGAACTGTGGGATATGTTAGGCTTTCTAACAAACGGCCTGGTCAGAATGGTGTTTCTTTATGAAAAGGAGAGCCTTATAATTGTGTTAAACCACAGGCTTCCTAGTGTCGGCATGCTGAGCTGTTGTGGCACTAGCCCGTAACTTAGAATGAATCTGTCTCAATGCTGATGAGAGGCTTGCAAGGTTTTGTATCTAAAAGAAATCAAAGACTTTTGAAACATTTGAAACAAATTGACTTGTTTCTTCATGTACTTTCTCATATATGCAGTGTCTATTTTTGGAATCCAGATTCATTACTGCCAATGGATTCATACTTGGAAATTTTATAATGTACCTTTTAAATTTAACAAAATTTCAACCAATACTAGAATATTGAATGTATCCTATGGGATTTGTAATTTACTTTTGGAGCCATCTGGTGGTCTGTTGGCACCATAGCTATGCTCAGCTGTAACTAAGATACATTTACAAGTTGAAAAGAGGAAGAAAATGGTTCTTTCAGATCAGGGATGTAGTTGCAGTTATGTATTGTGCCCTGGGATTCAAAGCCCTTCATGTAAAAGAGGGGACCCACTTCATCAACCTCAGCCAAGCCCTAATTCCCAGTGCAACAGTCCGTTCCAGTTTTCTGTTGGGTACACTGGGTCTTTGTGGTTGTAGTGTCAGTATTGTTGTGCATTGAAATGTTCGTCTGGCCAATCAAATATGTTTTGCAAAATAATGACAGTAAAATTATTTTTAGCTAAAAAAATCACTTGCTGTAGTTATTGGTCAGGTAATAAGTAATTCTATTATTTGTGCAATAGTACATTAGTGCTGCTTCTAAGTACACTATGTTATTTTTTTATCTTTTTTAGTAGATAATAGTTTAATTTTCCAGACAGCTTTCCAACTGTGGGAGAAGCGGGCCCATCATATTTCCGACTCTGCATTTATTTTGAGCAAAACTGCAGGGATGTGCATTTTATTAAAAGTTAAATAAGTGTCCGTTTTGTTAAAGCTTGTGATTTGTGAGGTGCTGCAGGAAAAAAAAACGGGATGAGATTTATCTGCCTTTCCTGTTCCCAGGAAAGCTCTCCTGTACGGAAAATGACAAGTTAGCTAAACTGTTGGCCTTCTCAGTTCTGAGGGAACCATCGTTGGTAACCATGGCGATGCGTTCCCTATCATTGCACACGAATGAGTCGAGCTGAAACCGACTTTGCCTGAACCCTGCTGCGCCAAGAGCTTCTCTGAATCGCCTGATATCTTTTTTTCTTCCTCTCTTTCGCAGCCAACTGGTTACATGGAAGCGGCCATCTCCTACAGCACTATTGAGGACGTGCAACTTCTCTCCTGGGAAAACGCACCCAAATACTGTTTACAACTTACATTCCCAGCAGGCACTGTTCTCCTGCAGGTAGGTGCCCACAGTGTGCTTTCTCTCTGTTTTGAAATAAAAAAAAACCTTCTGTTACTCATGTTGCCTCCAAATCTAGATTCATGACAGTGTGGCTCCATGTAAGCGTTTGTTCTTTCCAAGAGAGCCTGCTCTGGTCACGTCTCTTACTCCCCCACCCGAGATCCCCCCCTGCCAGCACTGCCCACTCACTTCATGGCCTACTTTCTCACACTGAAAGCCATCCCAGACTGCTGGGAAAGTCAGCACGTGCTGATTTGTCATTTCCTAAGGCCCAGTTCGAAACAGTCCCCCTCTCTGTGTCCTCACACTGCATTTGAGAGAGTCGGTCACTGTCTGGTTTGGTGAAGGTTTTTGCTGCATTAAAAATCTTTCCGTTGGTATATATTTGTTGTGCTTCCAAGTGCGTAGCAGCAAAGCACTGTGGTGGCAACAACAGGGACTGGGAAGGGGTGTCCATTAACAAGTGGAGTTGCACACGTGTGTAATGCACAATACAACATCAGTTTTCCATCTTTTCCAAAGACAGAGTGCAAAGAAGATATCATACAGGCTCAGGGTATCACAACGGGTCGGAGGCAGCTCTGAGGTTCGAATTGTGCACTTCCCATGTCTCTATGACAGTGGAACACCTAGGTTTTTGTAAGTCAGGAACAACAAAACACAGAAAACAGAGAAACACGTGCTTTAACATACATGCAAATGTGCGCTGTCCTTGAAGAGAGAACTCCAGATTTAAAGTTCACCTTCACAAAGTGCAACTTGCACCACATGAAAACCTGATTCACACTCATCTGCTCACACTCAAGTGAGAAGTCACCTCTGTGTGAACTTTAACCTATGTTAGCTGTTTACTTCTCCATATGGGGACAATGTTATAGTGTTAACATTCTCTAAGCATGAATTAAAACTAGAAATCATGGTATGAAGGGCACAAGAACACACTTCATCCACTGTTTTTGATTTTTTTTTTGATCCACTGTTTTTGAATGTACAGATATACATGTCTGTTTAAATTCAGAGACTGATGAAGAACCAGTTGCTGTTTTCACTCCAGGGATATGCTTTTGCTTTTCATCCATTGTCAAGAAGGCTTGTTGCTGCCTCACTGCGCTTAGGTCCTGGGTTTGATTCTGGAATGCCTTTAAAAATATATGTTTTTGGAGTATAGAGTGCGTATCCAGCTGACTCTACTTTTTATACTGATTTTTCTCTGGACAGCAGCTCTGTGATTTTTTGGGTGGGCCTATTATTGATCCAATTTCAACTGTCCTTCACCTACATAGAGCTTGCTGTACTACAGTTGGTGCATTGCTTTGCTTTTTCAATGGGATGGAGCCGAGATTTTAAACTCCTCTAGATGTTTGATTCTTTTTTGGGGTGTCTTTACATCAGATCGCAGCATGAATGGTTTTGGGGACAGACCTGCCTGCCAGACCTCCTTTAGTGGGTAATTACATGGTTTGTGTAGGACAACGGCGATAGTGATCCACCATGCATGTTTTTCAGAACTATGGTCCCGAGCGCACGTACCTCATCAGCTACTTCGTTAAACTTTTATCTGCCCAGTCTTACAAACCCTTTTTATTTCTTTTAGGCGGCCAACAGCTATCTTCGGGATCAGTGGTTTCACTCCCTGCAGTGGAAGGTATTAATACCTTGTTGGTTTTTGTTTTTGTCAATCAATTACCATGATTAGTGTCAAAATGCACTAACTATTTGCCCAGGATTCTTGCCTCGGATACTGAGCTGTGTGATCTCCGTCCATTGTGTTCTGCCCCTCCCCCTGAGCAAGGCTGCCCGTTTCTTCCAAATGATTTCACACTATTTTAATATTCTGCTCGTTAGGCTAATGGTCACTGTGGGGAGGTGGTGGGGGGCTCTATCGTTTTGTAAAGAACACAACGAATAACTTGTGCCAAAACAGTGAAAAAGTAGGTGTAAACACTCGCTACACCAGCTGTGTCACAATGTTTTAATAAGAAAAACAGTCTGGTTTCTTTGTAATTGTATTATTTCAAAAAGATGACCAGAAAAGTCCATTTTAATGAGCGATACAGAATAGATTACTATTTTCTGAATAATCATGTTTTTTTTTTCCCTCTTCACTAAAAGATACAATGGAAGAATTCTAATTAGAATCCCCTTCGTTAGTAGCACAAACCCCTTGTTAAAGTTACAGCACCACCACATTATAACAGTAGCAGTCATGGTGCAGAATCACGTAGTGAGATGGCAGATCCTATTTCTGATGGGAACGCTCAGGTAAATGAATTATGGCAGCAGCAAAAGAAGAAACTGATGTACCTTTTTACATTTCTTTATATGCATGTACATCCAAAACATTTTTTGTATTGTGTATTTTTAATTTCTTGCTTAAGTGACTTGTATCACCATCATAGTTTCAAGAAAATCCATCTCTGTGAAGATGGAACTGGATGATTGTACTTATGTACAGCATAAATCTTTGTAGTTAATGTAATGTATAAAGCAAGGCTTTGAACAAAAAATGTTTCATAAGGTCATAATCATTCCCTAATCACAAAAAAATTACAAAAAACATTAATTATTTCACTGATATAAAAAAAATAAGGTATCACGTACATAAAAGTTTATGGAAATTCTGTGAGCAAATAAATTCCTATGTGACTCCATTTACTGTGAGTCAGTGAATACCATGTTTTTACTATTACCGTTAGGATGAGAATGAAACAGTAATTTGCAATATTTGCTGCAGGGGAAGCAGGAAGGAACATGTTATCTCAGTGCAAAGAGAGTTTTGTTCATGTGGCAGTGGAAAAAGCTGTCTTACCTGAGGCAGCCTGCTTTGCTGAAATTAACCCTCCTGCCCTTGGCTGGTTTCAAATGTGACAATGGAGCATCCTGAATTCTGCACCTCTGTGGAAGTCAAAATTACTCCTAAGCCTTTCAAATTTTCTCTCACCTCTAGGGGCTCACAAGGGGCCCCAGTATCCCAACGTTGCCTGGCTGGGTTTCAAGTGCAGGCTGTCTGCAGTGACCTAGGCCCATTTCAAAGAGAGAGAAAATGAGCTCCCCTGCTTTTATGCCAAAGAAACTTGTGAACACTTTCACAACATAGACGTGCATTTCAAACTGAGAACAGGAGGCATTTGTTTACACATGGGTTTGTGGGAATCTGGAGCAAACTCCCCCCTTCATGTTGTTGAAGCTGATACTTTGGCTTCTTTCAGTAGATGGCTGGATGAGACCCTTGAATCAATTAGTTACTAAATACCAAGCTAGATGGTCTGAATGGCCTGCTCTTGTTTCTAACATCTTTCTTAAAGTTTTAATTTCTTGGCAGCTTTTAGGGAATTCTAGGGTTAACTCTCCTGAAAAAAGAATGCGATGTGTCGCTGTACTGTTTCACTGTTTTTATTAAACGTCGTAGGGTTCATGCTTTGTTCACTTTGACTTGCTCTATTCATAAAATGTGGCCATACTGCAGTGTGAAGTACTGGGTTCTTTTTTATTACTAAAAAAGCCTTTGGTATTTTGTGGGTTATTTTATGAGTGACTCCCTGCTCTTCCCCATATCTGGTTTCTGCTTTCAGAAAAAGATCTACAAGTACAAGAAAGTGCTGAGCAGTCCCAGCCGCTGGGAGGTGGTGCTGAAGGAGATCCGCACACTGGTGGACATGGCTCTCAGCTCGCCCCTGCAGGATGACTCCATCCACCAGGCCCCACTGGAAATTGTCTCCAAACTGCTGTCAGAGGTACGGATTTCCTCTGCTTTCTGTGGTGACCTTCATCCCGAGGCAACGAGATGGAAGAGTGGGGAATACTGGCTACTGACTGATCAAGAGTACTGTACCTATAGGAACGACTGTACCAGCAACAGCCCTCTGCGTTTCTCTGTGCGTTAGTCCCCGCCCCCTCCACGAGGGTTCCCCGTTAGTCCCCGCCCCCTCCACGAGGGTTCCCCGTTAGTCCCCGCCCCCTCCACGAGGGTTCCCCGTTGGTCCCCGCCCCCTCCACGAGGGTTCCCTGCTAGTCCCCGCCCCCTCCACGAGGGTTCCCTGTTAGTCCCCGCCCCCTCCACGAGGGTTCCCTGTTAGTCTCCGCCCCTTTCCTGAACTGTCTGCTGGACACTGCCTGAGATGTGAAGATTAACATTGATTTTATCATCAGGGCTTCAAATAACCACTCTGCGTCCATGTGGCCTTGAGTCTTCGTGCTCTCACCACATTCGCCTGGGTTTTCTCCCCCTCTCTGGGACGTTCATGTCATCTTTGTTTGACTACACTCAACAGTTCACTGTGGTTTTCTCTCCCCATTGGCAAAGACAGCTGATCCCCCCCTCTTCATTACCTTTCATGGGGTTTAGTGGAGAGAAACACCTCCCAAAAGGAGCTTTTTGCACAGTGCTTGTGTGTGTCATCAAATGTTACACTGGTATTCCTGCCCAACTGCTTTGCATAACAGCTTCTGAACACCCACTGTGCTGTTTATCCCCACTCCACCTCCCCCACTTCAACTGCGATCTAATCTACTCTTCGGCTGCAGCCCTCATGTCATAAATGATTATGCGGCCTTGTATATTCTGCCTTTCCGAGCCAGAGGATGTATTGAGCTCTGATGAAAAGTACTGTAAAAACCAGGAAGCTCTAGTGGAAACTTTGACAGGAGCTAATGATTAGCAAGGAGGCCGGTGAATTTTTTTTGTTCCGGGGAAAAATGTTTTGGGAGTAAAGATGAATCCTTACTACAGTGCAGAAACACACTGGCTTTGTACTTGTTCCTCGCAGTGACCTCCATTTCTGGTGAGAATCGAATCTGTGGCACAGGCCCTCACCTTCTGAAACTCGAAGACCGCTCTCTGACTCACCCTTTGCATTATAGCTGAGCAGCAACTTCTTCCTAAAGCAGATTTTTCCCCTCCTTGCAGGCATGGCAATGCTATAAAAATGAGAGGAAATGATGAGCAGGTTTGCAGTGCCTCAGACACCTTGTGTTTGAACAGGCTTCTTAATCTGGAGTGGGACGCACTTATACTGTCACTAGAATTTTGCATTGTCAGTGCTGACCATCTATACAATCACTTCTTGTAACCACCCTGACTTTCACTATTTTCATTCTACAGCTTTGAACTAAGGTTGGGTTTTTTATTTTTGCTATCGGAACTATTGCTATTGGTGGCTCTTGTGGCTCAGTGGAGCCCAGAGAGCTAGAGAGGCTGACAGTGCTGTATAGCTCATGGTGGGACCATTAATTTGAGCACTCGGTGGCTTTCAGCTGATTCTCTGAAGGAGATGTAAAAGCCCTTTGCCCACTTACAAAAGTCTTAAATTTGCTGAAGCCGTTTCTGGCCATGCATTGACGACTATATGTTTAAAAAATGAGTGCCAACGAATTGCTGCTGATAATTAATGGCAGCCATTGCTGTCAAATAGGAAACCGCACTAACAGAGCTGGCAGTTTACCACAAAAAAAGAAGCAAGTTGTTGAAATGCACTTACTGGTCTCAGCTGTAGAATTGTGTCTGCATAGAACAAATAACTCTCCGTTGTGGCATGTTATTCACATTCAGTACAGGGTTCTTCCGAGTTGTTTTCTATCTGTATCTCTTTACTGAATTAGAAAGAATTGGAGCAATCTTCAATTTATTCAGTCTCCAGATTTTGGGGGGTAAACGTGTGCTGCCCTTTTGGGATCACCTAAGCATCACAAAGTGGAACATTCCCCTTGGCATTGGGAAATTTTGGCATTGCAAACCCACGTGAGGATTACAGTGGGGTTTATAATCTGGGATTACACCTGTTGAAATGACTTTTATTTTTCTTTATTTTTACAGAACATAAACCTGACCACACAGGAGCATGAAAACATCATTATGGTACGCAAGGAACATGGGTGAAACAGCTTGTTCTTTCACAGATATGGGATTTTTGAAGTCAAGTTGTAAACCAAATGGCATTTATTTCAGATGATATGATATGAAACAACTTTGCCATTTTTGTTCAAAACCACTATATATACTTTTTAGACCTTAAAGTAGCAATATAGTAACACGTTTCCAGCCACCACAGACAAATTGATAGGTTTTCCTTTCCAGAATTTACCTGTAAAGCAGTCCTTTAATTGCTGTGGATTATTTCACTTATCTGCTTGTTTACTTGAAATAAAATGTGGTAGAATCCCTCAAATGACACTTTTCTGAAAGACTTCTGGTCTTACATAAATGTAACACTATGAAATTAATTTCAGATTGCTTTTGAGATCACTTAGTAATATAATACATGCATACATTTATTGCTATTGCTTGAGTAGGTGGCAGTAGAAATGAAAATAGGGATGCACTGCGTGTGTGTAGTCAGCACAATCAGGTGCTGCATGAATTTAAAATCTGTTCTGTTTCAAAGATAAAACCCAACCAGAGGAACCCTGCTGGGCTGCTATGCCAGCGATGGGCGCCACTGGTTTTCTCTGGATGTGGATCCTCTGAATGCCGTTCACATTAATTCTTGGTTTCTAAATGAAGTGATTATTTTCTGCGCTGAGCATGAGATGCGTTGCCCCAGGCAGCATGGAGGAAAGACCCCCCCCCATGGAGAGACTTACAAAGCCAGCTTCTGTACAGCCCACCGAGATCGAGGTCATCCATTGCTCAACTGAGTCAGCTGTTTGGAGCGGAAATGTTGACTCAGTTCAGCAGTGATGTTGTTGTCGCACACCCGACAGAGGTGTGAGTGACAGCAAGTGATGGAGGAGCTACCTGCGTCATTCATTGCATATTTGGTTTTTGTCTTCCTTTCAGGCTGTTGCACCACTTTTGGAAAATAACCACCCACCACCCGATCTTTGCGAATTCTTCTGCAAGGTAACCAGCCGTGTGTCTGAGGCCTTTCTTAAATGCCTGTGAGAATTCTCCTTGCATTGAATTTTTTCTTCTTCTAGGCAGCATATAGTTTTTAAATGCAGCCGTGCTTCGTCTGGCTGCTTCACAGCACCATTGAAACCTAAACATGAGGAAAGAGAACCTGGAGCAGAGGAGGCATTTTATCTGCTCTTACTGCCCGCCTGTAGTCCTGTAGGACATTTCCTGTTTGTTTCCACCTGTAAAATGCAGTCATGCATGATTTGCAAGTTCACCTGTATCTGTGGACAGTATGTAACAACTTTAGGGTATCGCAGTATCCAAATAAATGTTGAAAAGAATTGCTTTTAATAGAAACCAGGAAACAATTTAACATATTTGGGCTCTCTGACTTTGGCACAACGAACTGTAAATAGCATGGAATGAATGAAATAAAACTTTCTTATCCTCCAAATACCATTGTGTTAAAAAATGTGGGAGGTATTTGGGAGCAGTCTTAAAGCTGCTAACCATTATGTATAATGTAAGAGACTATTTCTGTCAGAGTTGACTGAGCAGTTCTTGAGTCCAGGTGTATGTGTGGTGGTGACTTGAAATGTCCCTGTCTGACACACATCTCCATCCCTGTGAAATTCCTTCCATCATATAATAATAACTGGGAGAACTGGCCTGAGATATACAGTACAGTAAATGGCTTGACAAGAGTCTACACTTCAGTGACACTTTCTGTAGCTTTTTTCCACAGTGAGCCCCATCTCACAGTGTTTTGCAAAGTCGGATTGCAAGATGACTGACTTAAATTGATTTTACAACAGGTCTGCCAGTATCAGCTGAATGAAAATTTAATCATTTGAGATGAATACAGACCACTTTAGGACTAAAAGTCTGGTGTGAATGACTGAATTTGCAGTGTTTGAAATTGAGGCAAGCTTATTTTACATATGAGGATGGCAGATGACTCAGAAGTGAAGCAAAGTTTAGAGATATGCAGCAAGATGTGTTAAATTGGCATGCAGGGAGGTAGCAGTTTACAGGAAGCAGCGTACACTAAGAATTTATCTGCCCTCTATTGCCAAAAATAGGAGCGTATCTCTTAGATATATCATACAGTAGTTACATATTGATAGAGCTATGTGTTGAGTTCATGTCCAACCTACAGTCCCTTTCTGTTCCTCTTAGAAGAAAATGGAATTATTCAGGGGAGTTGGGATTGACAAGCATGTTGCTTGAAAGAAACTAGGAACTGTCTCTCTGTAGAGAGTTTTCTGCTTGGATTGATATGCCAGCGGAACGCTGCCGTCTTCACTATTTTTACCTTTAAAGCCTCATGCCTTTTGAAGTATTCATCACAAAACAAAATAAATCCAAAGAAACACATTAAGTACAAATACACAAGGATTAACTAAACAAACATGGAAGCAAAGCGAGAGTGATGAAGAGATCTCAGCTTGACAGGATAACTCAAAAAGATATGTTTCTTTGGGAATCGTAAGCACGCTAGCCTGATATCTCTGCAGGAGGGAGTTCCAGGGCTGGAAGGTCCTTTGCAAAGGGACATGCAAGTCCCTGACTGGGGGAGCCGAGAGAGGGCCGAACAGGATTTCTCCCATCCTGGTCCTGCAGGCCTTGTTGTCCAGGTTTTCTAGGTCTCTTTGACTCTCCATCACCTTCAGAGTGGGATGACTCCGTAAATGGAACCACTCAAACACAGTAACAAGACATGCAATGGAACAAAAACCCGCAGGCAGACGAGCCCACCAGGAACAGGATAGCAGAAGGCAGGTCTAAACTCTCCCCACCTTTATAAGTCAAAGGCTAAAGTGTTGGGATTGCAGATCCAATGTAAAGCAGCAAGAAGGTTAGTGCTCTAGTTATCTCGCAGGGCCGTTCTGAACTTGTTTCACCAGTTTTGTTGATTCTGCTCTTTCCTTGTTTTCCAGCACTGCAGAGAGCGCCCTCGATCGATGGTGGTGATTGAAGTGTTCACACCTGTGGTACAGAGAATCCTCAAACACAATATGGTAAGTAAATCGGTTAACCTGACTATTCGTTCGTAATTAGCCCTTGCCTGCTGCTCTTTAATGGTGTGTGAAATTGCACTGTTTCATTGGATTTATTAAATATAGAAAATGGGATCTGTGGTATTGAAGCTAAGGCTACATGAGATTCATGAATCAAGAGAAAGACCTTTGGAGCAAACTTATGATTGGATCTTTGACTGCATATGTTTGTACAGATTTAAAGAAATACAGTAGGTGCTGTATAGTGAGGAGCAAAATAGTCACTTTTCGGTAGTTGTAAAAGGTTTTAATTTCTTCTGCTGAAGGAATTAACGATCCTAGTAGTTCTTATGTAGAGGGTTCCCTCCCCTGAAAAGGCACAGCACCAGAGTGTATATGAGTCTTGAAAAGGGGGGCTTTATTATAAAGGAGGGTACAGTCAGAGACAAGAATTTTATTGTCTATAGTGCTGCTTTCTTGTAAGTGGAAACACCTACATGAATGTGGAACCCAGCTGGTTTGTAATCAAGGAAAAAGTAAAAGGAGGTGTTCCAAATTTTTTGACAGGGTCCTTGCTTTGTCCTGTCAGCAAGAGGAGCATCCAGTAGATAGATCACTATTGCTGTTTGCTTGACAGACAGGGAGACATTCAGCACATACAAAGCCTTGTGCGAAGAAGACAAACACTGTACTGTATGTCTAGCAAGCTGGATTAAATAAAAGTTCAGAAAGGCCAACCGTCAAAGACATAAGGCGCAAATACAGGGTGGTTGGAATCAAACGACAGCAATGCGTGTCAGCCAGAGAAGGCTGGGGTTCTCTGTCGGGGCTGCTGAATGAATCAGGGTTGTACAGGGCTTCCGATACAGAACCAGGTCTTCACCTTGTCTGTGTCCCTTCTGTGCCACTCCTCCCTCTCAGGACTTCGGGAAATGTCCACGCTTGCGCCTCTTCACTCAGGAGTACATCTTGGCACTGAACGAGCTGAACGCGGGGATGGATGTGGTGAAGACGTTCATCCAGAGGTGAGGCAGCCGGGCCGCGTAACTGAGCACGTGTTCCGTCAGCTCTCAGGAACGAGCTCCAGGCCAGGGAGATAACAGGCTCGCACAAAGGCCCGATTCACTAGGAGCTGACATGGGGGAAACACGTTTGCACAGCAGTATGAAAAACTGCCCTGATCTACAGCCTTGCATGAGATGTCATATTCTTCATCAGGCCAAGTTATGCCACCGGTTTATTAATTCATGTGATATGATTCAAATGTTATTTTCTTATGGGTCACTTTCTAAACAGTTGTCTTTGTATTTCTTTGGAATAACAAAAAGTACCCTAGCTGTAATAATACCTTTCACTATGCGAGAGGTTGGGTTCTGTATCTATTAATGATAGTTAAAATTCGGGAAGCAGGTATGTTATGTCTTTTAACAAAAAAAAGACTTGTACAGTAAACATTCAAAATGCTTAACAATACATTGACATAGCTTGGAGACTGGCATTTTGGCTATTGGTAAGTGAACAGCTTACTGTAAATTATTACATTTGCATTTAATGATTGTTCTCTTTGGTTCTGTAAGTTCAGAATAAAATACATATCTGAGTTAAAGTGTCTGCTGTATAGTCTAGTTGTCCACTGCCTGACCCAGGAGTTAATTGGATCAGTTTTAACCCTCCCCCTAGGTGTAGATCTGTTTGGAAAGTAAAGGTACACTGAAAATCTGCTGGATTTCAAATCTAGCATTTCAGGACTTCGGGATCAGAGTCTGTTTCCCACTTTTGTGGAGAATGTGGATGTCCGGGATCAGGTTTAGTAGCTGTGAAGATTGGAGGTGGTTCCCGTGGTAACTGAGGTGTCTTCTCTTGCAGCATGCATGGGCCGACTGGTCAGTGCCCGCATCCTAGAGTACTGCCTAACCTCGTAGCTGTCTGCCTGGCTGCCATCTACTCCTGCTACGAGGAGTTCATCAACAGGTCAGTGCCACGCCCTCTGCCACCACTTCTGTAAGGAGGCAGGGTGTCGATATGCAGGGCCTTGCTACAGTATAACAATGTGAACACCCTGGGCCTGGAGGCACTACGCGTGTGTTACAACACGACACATGGAAAGTAAATGCAGCACCTGTTAGCGTGCAGGGTCTGATGCAGATGCTCACATGGAAGACTGATTTGCATTGCGGGCTAGGAAATACACTGGGAAAACTGCCTCGTCGTTTTGCAGCTGTATTGTTGCAGGAGTCTGTAGGCATTAAGAACGAAGCATTTATTTCCCTGTGCCATCTCGTAGACCTGCCATGTACATTTTTTATGTTATCTGTTCAGGGAACACTTGTTTGCCAGTGATTTTTTTTTCGTGACTGGCTTTTGATTTTGTGTACATTTATTTCAAGAGCATTGTTTTTGTTGGCCGATTCCTTCATTTCAGTTGGGTTTTTCTGGAACCTTTCTTCAAGAATAGGGCCCGATTTGTGGTTTTGATGTGGATTGTATTAAACCCATTTGTAATAATAATGAGCACTCTTCGGTCCTCACGGAAATGAAGGAAACAAATCTTAGTTATTGCTCCCACAACGTTGGCTACCTACAGAAAAGAACTTTGTTAACCTTTACATGATTACTTTGCAGTGGGATTTCTCTAGCGGTGTCTGGTGTCCAGGGAAAATGCTGCATTGTTTCCATGCTGCCTATATTTGCATTAGCTACCTCATAGGGTTATTTATCCTCATATCATCTCAAATCAACAGTGTTGATACCTAGTCTCCTAGAGAGCTCAGAGGAGGCTCTATTGCCAAATATGACATTCGGTAGGAAATAAAATCTACTGTGAACATTTGGAAACATCCTTAGGCCTCCGTCAGCAATGTGCATTTTTCTTAAATGGCAATAGCTTAGCTTAACCCTGGAGTATCCCTGTTAAGTCACTGTTGATAAGCATGTCAGCCACATAAATGTGTTTATTGCTCTTCGTTATAAATTAGTTTAAAAATGTAAGACTTTTTAAAAAATCGCCTCCACATTTTAGAAATTATAGACTGTTTTGAAAGTTGAATTTCTTAAATATGTCTTGTATAAGCATGGTGCAGGGAGCTTTGCGATGAACTTTCAGCTAGACGTGAAGTAGTTTAAAGTGCGTAAAATAAACCCATAAAAAACAGGCCTAGCTGCATACCAGAATCCTTTGTGACTAATTTAAGGTTCCATGGTTGTATTAGTTGCTGTTTAGTATTTTATATTAAAGATTAGAATTTTTATGATGCTCAAACACAGCAGAAAGTTGCCATGCGTCTCGACGTGACCGAGACGAGAGCGGAGTCCCGCAGGGTTGTCCGCAGTGTGTCCCGGCAAGGTCTGACAAGCTCCCTTTCCTCCCCTGCTGGCCCAGCCGGGACAACTCCCCCAGCCTGAAGGAGATCCGCAACGGGTGCCAGCCGCAGTGCGAGCGCAAGCCCAACCTGCCCCTGCGGCTGATGAGGGCCAACCCCGACCTGGTGTCCCAGGAGGTGGCCACCCCCGCGGAGGCCCGCATCAAGTCCGTCATCGTCAACTCCAGCGAGATCCACGTGGAGCTGGAGCGCAACAACGCCAACGCCGAGAAGCTGAAGGGCCCGGCGGGCAGCGAGAGCGAGCCCAACCTCATCGACTGCCTGCTGGTCAGCCCCACCTGCAGCACCCTGGCCATCCAGCTCAATGCCCAGGCCGACCGCGTGCTGGCCTGCTACGTGGAGATACTCAAGATGCTGTGAGCTCCTTCTTCACTCCTCCTTCGCTTGTTGCCTTGCTAGCACTTCCTGCCTCTCCAGTGTTACTCTAACAAGGCACAAAGGTCCTTTTTGAAGATGATTTTAGAAAATACAGACTGTAATTGATGACTAGAATCAACAGTTAAATCGGCGAAGAAGTGGTTGCATGCTATTCTGAATAGGAAGTCCTGAGAATACAGTTATTTTCTTACTAGACAAATCCAAACAACAGGGTGACTGAAATTCACAGGGGAATTGCATTGATTACCTTGTCCATAAAGGCATTGCAAAGGCATTCCTGTGCATTCATAATCCACCTGGTTTCATCTAGTTGGTTAATGTTGAGGTGGAGAGAGACAGATCACTTACAGATGATTGAGATTATTTGGAATGAAGTCTGGTGAGGTCTGTAGCCTCCCAAGACCAAGGTGGGGATACTCGTTTTTCCATTGAAAACATTTCTTGTAAAATTGAGCTTTTAAAAGTCTTTCTCCTTTGCAGGTTACACTTTTAAAAGTCGCGCAGTTTGTTGACTTTTTGGTTGTTTTTCAACAGAGTGAGGTCCTTGACCTGGACACACACTGTGCTGACAAAGTCGTAGAAAATAATATCGCTGCAATCCCATGATAACCATCTGGGCTGCGTGCACAGCTCGAGATGAAATATGTCATATACCTGATTTGTCTCCCTGCCCTTTTAGCTGTGAGAGGATAAATATCGCCTGTTACAAATATGCTTTGTAGTGTTTTGAGGCAGTAAAAAACTGTTACATAGGGTTACATATAAATCTATATATTTCCATGCTCCACTGAAGCTCGTTTCTGAAGTCCTTCTTTTGCCCCACAGATCTGACTATGACGATTGGAGACCTGCTCTTGCGAGTCTGCTCCAGCCCATTCCCTTTCCTAAGGAGTAAGTAAACGGAGATCGTCTGCATTACTAGCCGGGTTGTTGGAAAATAAGCTGGAGGCCTCCTCTTCTTTGTGTCATCTGGGAGGTTTTATGCAGTGCAAATGTCTGGATCCCGAAGCTTGGTGGTTGCCAGTTTAAATCCAGCTCTGCCACCCATCAGTGGGGGTCAGCGGGTGGGGATGCTCATGAGTGCAGGAGTCCTCAGCTCTCTGCACACCGTTGACTCCTGTCTCTTGCAGAATCTTTGTGTCTCTGCATTCGCATTTTACAGGTTTTTTGAGCCATGCTTTCAGCGCGCATGTTAAAAGATTTTCATTGCTTAAAAGCGTTAGCTTTTAAGCAGCCACTGACAGACAACAGGGAAGCTGAAAACTCTCCTTGAACTTTGAACATACCACAGGTTTCCTGAATGCCTTGGATTCTTCCACATCAATCTCAATTCACAAACTGGAATCAGAGCCAAATTCAATACATTTTGGCATTTTATGGCAGTGTTTGTTGGAAAGGATAGTACTTGTTGTACTATTCATTTTTTCAAGCAGAGATTGAGTAACTTTTCCATTAAAGAGGAAGTTGCGGTGTTCTACAAAATGGCATTATAAGTCCCTTGTGTTGCAACAGCTGTTAAAGTAAATCATTTTTTGACAGCATGGTGACATTGCAAATTGTGAAGTTGGTTTAGGTAGTAAAGGGATTTTCAAGGCGTCTTGTATTTTGTGCTCCTCTGGGGTAACTCTCAAATCAGCTGGCTTGGGAAATAAAGCTGACCTCTCAGAGCCATTTATGAGGAAGACCTCTGATGCCACTGGGAACTGAGCAGGCAAAGCCGACGTTTTGTTTTCCAGTTTGATCGTTTTCCAAGGAAGGTTCCACCGGTAGGCCAACAGGAATACCCCACCCTATATGGAAAACTGATTGTAAAAACATGTTGAATGTCAAGTGGAATACACCTCCCCTTTTTAATGCTCTAACAAATGGCAGGATGTTATCTAAAAAAAATATTAAAGCAGATGTCTGTTACTTCTGGCAGCTGTCGCAGCGCTGGGAGTGTAATGCTTTATTTTCTGGAGCCCTGCTAGTTTCTCTCTAAGCGACAAACTGTAAAAAAGGCCTGGTTTAAAAAGATACTTTTGCTGTGTCAGCCTTGTGTAGATCTCTTAGGCCTTGGGTGACATTTCAGAAGCCAAAAAACTGTTTGTCTGGAAAATGTATTTCCCTTGGCAACAAGTAACGACTCCTAATTGCACTGTTTACCAGACTTTCACTTCCCCGGGCACATCAGCCCTCACTTGGGGTCTGTGCTTCTCCAGGAAGACACCCGGCCTGTTGTGTTAATAGTGTGTTTGTCTCCCTTGAACTGGGCTGGGTAGCGCCAGGCAGTCAGAGTGACGTTGTGTTCCATCAGCTGGATCGTTTGGGGACTAGACAAGTGTGATTTACACTGAAATGTTTTAGGAAAACAAAGGCCCTAATTGAGACTCCCAAGCATCGCACTAATTATTCATGACCTTCTGCTTCATTACAGAGGTTTCCGTCAGCACACCTGAGCTCTGAACAAATTAGCATCTTTTATGCTCTTTTCCAAGGCATTACTTTTATAAACATGATTGCCGGGCTTCATCATTTAGTACTAATTGCTGTTTTCCAGTGCAGCAGCTAGAGACTTTCAGTAGTCCTGGAGAGAGAAAGGAATTAGAAAGAAGTAAATTATTACAACACAATGAATTGGGATAAGTTGACATGCATTTCATTAAATCTTTGGCTTGCGCTGTATCGTGTAGATTTTACATTACTTGAAATAAAGTAAATCGCGTTTCCAGAATGCATGGACTTTATGTACACCAGTTTCATTTCACAAATCTGTATCACGTCTGAATTCAGAACGTTGTGTTTCTTCATAGGAGGAGGGTTTTTGGAAAAGATGGAAATATCACCTCTTGAAGTGCTGTTCATTTTGAGCAGTTAGGTTTAGTAACTATGCTTAAGATGATAAAGAGGAAGCTGCTTTTAACTATTAAATGTCTGTTATAGCCTCAGCTTCCTCATATATAATTTTTCTCATTCCTTTCTGTCTCATGGAGTTAGCTCTGAGTTTTTCTTACAGAATACTATTTGTTTGTTTGCAGGGCCCTGGCACATGAAAAATTCACCAAGTAAGTTTTGTTTTAATATAACTATTACAGCATTATTATCACTTTGCTCTTGTCTGTCTGTTGTGCTGGAGTCCCATTGTTTTTGTCTTTCGTAGGGGGGAAAAAACAAGACCTCTGTAGAAACATATAAACTGCCTGTGTCTGAAATTAAATGAAAATGCAAAAGAAACGAGAGTTTTGCCGAAGGGATGTAAAAGTTTTCTGCAGATGTACACGTCCTTAGCCTCAGAAGTCAGGCGTTTATAATATTTTGCACATTTTTGATCGTGTTGGCCAGATATTTAAGAGAGTGGAAAGTGTGATGTTTCCGCTTGTGCCAGTGATTCATTTTGAAACTGAAGATGAGGGTACACTAAACCATGCTAATCAATAATTGATTGTTAAAGAGGGAATTGCTAGAAAAATCAGTATTAAAAATATCAGTATGTCCAAGTAGATGTTTGGGAAACCATTTTGCCTGCATTGTTAAGTGGGGTTGGCCTTGTCTCGGCCTTACTGAAACAACATCAAGTGAAGTGAATATCATGCCACCACAGACTGTGCACCCGCCACTCTGTTGCTTAACTCGACCCTATTAACTGTACTGGCCACTGTCTCAAAACCGTCCAGCTCATTAAGTGTGACGCTGGAAGATGTGTATTAGAACTCTGATCTTACTGTCAAGTCTTCTGCTGCCTCATTCTTGGTGATGTTTAATTTACCACATTAATATTTCATTACGTTTTCAAGCAGATCAGGATCAAGCAACCAGTGAAGCATGTGCACAACGTCACACACACAGTTTGAAAAGGTCTTTTTGTCAGTGGGATGGGGTTTGGCCTGAATTTTCAACAGTCTTCATTTATATTTATCTCATTCCCAGGGAATTAAAGTATGTCATTCAGAGATTTGCAGAAGACCCCCGACAGGAGGTGAGTCAAGTGCTTTAAAATGGATAAAAACGTGACATCATCGTAGCATTAACTAGGTCACTGTGCAGTGAACTGAATGGGCTTGATGTGATGCCTGCTGCTGTGGTTTGTAGTTTGCGGCGCGGATAAAATTTTGGAAGAGAAGTTGTAAATAAAAATCAGTGGGACAGTTCCCCCAAAACATCACTTCGAACTTGTGCACCTGCTGCTTAATAAACAAGGAGAAACTAGGTGTGCCTGAGAAATGTGATTTGAAGAGTTAGAAAAGTGGGTTTGAAAATTATTTCTATAGACTATAAATCCATGAATTCCATAGACTTTCAAAAATGTAACTGCTAGGATTCCTAGAAGGGATGTGTGAAGCAAAGGCAAAGCAGCCTTTAGGAAATATTTTGAATGACCATTTGGAGTCGGGATTTGAGCCTGTTTCATTTTCTTGATGGGAGAGTGTCTGTGTGGACTGGTCAAGCAGCAGTGACTGTCAGGCAGTCACAAGTCAAGGTAGAAGTGAAAGCTTGGGATTCTTCTGGCAGGTCTCGGACACGATGTGATTTGAGTGCAGGCCCAAAAACAGATACACGTGCACATTGTTTGTTTGCAAATCCCTTGAAACTGTGATATACAACAGGGACTTTCAGTACAACCACACATTTAGATATTTCCACTTGTCCTCAGAAACTGGCCAGGGAACCCCTAGAAACAGACCTGCTCAGGCATATTTTATAATTAGTTCAGGTGGGGAGCTGCGTCAGCATGCGTAGGCTGCAAAGGAACAAGTAATAGGTTTATTCCATGCTGAATAAAAGAAGAAAGAAAACACAACATTTCGGCCGTGGAGCCTTCTTCAGGTGTCACACCTGAAGAAGGCTCCACAGCCGAAACGTTGTGTTTTCTTTCTTCTTTTTTTCCCAGCATGGAATAAACCTATTTTATAATTATTCCAGCTGTGTTTGAAGTTGGGATCCTTATTTGTGAAGGTTATAACTCAGTTTTATAAATGCGAAAGGGGGGATCTTGATGACACACATGTTTAATACCTCCTGACAAGGGAGTATGGACACTTTCAAACCAGTGCAGCATATAAAGTTTTGGACAAAATCTGACAAGTGCCAATTGGCATTGGTTAGCCTTTTGATTTGCAGCTATCCTCATTATTCTTCAGCACAAAACATAGACGAAAGTAGTAGTTGTATGACCACGGTCTTCTTTTCCTGATCGGTGCTTTTAAGAGCGTAGTACAAGTGCTCTTATCACTCATCATAAGAAATGGAGGCTTTTAGTGGGCTGCCTGTTTTGAATCATTTGTCTTTATCGCAGGACCTGGCCCATGATAATTTACTTATTGTGCCAGGGTTTTAAAGCCTGTATTACATTTAGATTTTTTGCAGCCAAAAACGGTAAATAAATAAAACACGTCATATCGGCTTGCACTTTTTTCCCTTTCATATTTTTAAACCCTGTCTCTAGGCAGAGTTGTTGTGTAACTGAAGTACCCGACGCCTGGTTTTGTTAGACTGTCAAGCCCTTTTCTGTTTTCTGTTCAAGTGAGCTGATAAGAAATACAAGCAATCGAGTGTCTCACTCTGCCATTAAGAACAGCACAGCTTTAACGCGGGTCCACATCATCAGCGTTCGGCATTGATGTGGATAGGCATATACAGCTGGAATACCAACGGAAGTCTTTGCTGTGGATAGCAGCACTACAGTCCCATTCGGAGCCATGACTTTTATTGCGCCACAGTGTGATTTTTTTTTCCCCCCGCGATAAAGTTGCGTGAATAGGCCAGCTAACTTCACGGCACCCTGCTTCGAAAGCAGAGCGCGGTTCCTGACTAACCGGTGCGTGTTGTGCGATTCCCCGGCAGGTCCACTCGTGCCTGTTGAGTGTGCGTGCTGGGAAGGACGGCTGGTTCCAGCTGTACAGCCCTGGTGGGGTGGCGTGCGATGATGACGGGGAGCTCTTTGCCAGCATGGTACGTGTGTGCAATAATGTGAGTCCTTAATATTTTGCCTTGCATCGCCCTCACTCAGCACCTTGTCTGTAGTGAGCTTGACTGAACTGTACTGTATCTGAGAACTGTCTCATCCCACCCCCCTACCCCACCCCGTCCCAAACACGGGCCGCCCAGTTCCTGTTCTTCACCGCCTCTGATAGGTTCTTCTTCCTGGTGGTACTGGCCATCACAGACTGCCTCATAAGCATTCGCCACACATAGTTTATGACAATACATAGAGCCCGAACATGGATGTTTCCAGATCAAAACAAAACTCTTTAACCTTCTGTGGGAACTGTTTTGTGGGTTCCTGAAGTATGTTGGGTAACATTATGCATTTTCAGTGTATAATTCCCTTATTAGGGCAAATAAATCTAAACTTTTTTGGGGCTGTTCTTCTCGGGCGCCTGTGTCGACTTGCTTGCAGCATTTGTCTGCCTAGTGTTTAGGCATTAGACAGTGACACCACGACAAGCAGCCCAGCGCATGTTTTGAATCAACTGATGTCTTTTTGACTTCCGGCAAAAAAACTAATCGCATATTTACACCAGCTCTCAGTGCAGTGCCAAATAATTACACTTTAATAACTAATACTGTTCTACTGAAGTTCTTAAAATGGTTGATAGCGATAGTAAATCACTTATTTTAGTTTATTTTGTACTTTTGATTTTTTTTTAACCTACTTTTAGTTGGGAAGATTCATCTGTAGGTTTCCTGTCCTGAGTTAATGGAGAAAGTTTGTCGGATCAGCTGTTATTTTGGCACTTGAATGGAGGAAGATTGCCTGCAGCTCTTCCTCAGCTGGCTGTTACCATGGCAGCTGTGTGAAAAGAGTGGGGCTGTTGGAACTGGAGAACTGCTTGTCAAATACACAGCATTAAGAATAGTTCAGTTCTTAATGTTGAACTGAACTGGGAGATGACTGGGATTTATAACACTATGGGAAAACTGGATCTTGGCATGATCAAAAGAGAACAGTCCGCTTTAAAAAAATGTGACCTATATCAGCATCTGTCTGCCAAAGGCTACTTTGTTTATGCAAATAACAAAAATACTTAAATTTCGTTTTGATAGTTTTAAGACTTGCATACACTCTCATGTGCTTGGTTCAGGCCATGTGTACCTTTATTTTAAGACTTTCGAGTCGATATATTTTTAATCTACAGTATAGTAATGAGTACGTGACTGCCAGGATTGGTCATAATGACAGCAGTTCAGGATCGCCATTGTTTTTAAACTACTGTTTTTGATTGCCTGATTACCTTGGCATCAGCTGTACAGCCCTGTTCAGGGGTGCTCACTTCTCTGAGCCACTTCACACTGGCAGACCTGCGGTGCCCTCACGGTTCATGTCATACTGACTCTGAGTCAAACCACAGAAGTCTGTACCGAAGGGGTTAAGTGGGAGGTTTGATTTTATAACAAAGGAATTGACCCTCCTCCCCCAGCCTCTGCATAAAACAACTCAACTTGCAACTTGATTTCTTTGTCACATTTTTGGGAGTTTGTTACCCTGGAGCTTGTGTCCCTACAATGGTTACCAGTTCCCATACAGAGCCCTTCCATGGGCTGGGGTCCTTTTACCTCCAGGACTGCCTTGTTACTGTACTGCTTCTTCCCTGAGCTACAGAAATGCAGATGTATGTGTTGTTTCAAGGCATTGACTTCAATCAGTTGAGTCTCAAGCTGAAGCTGGTGTTCCCCTTGCTTGTTCCCCTTGCCCCATGACAGACAAATTAATGTTTTTCCTGTATATCTATTTTATGTAGCTTTGTATTTGTTCTTTATTTCCCGTTTATTTTTGTTGAGCTGTCTGGGTTACCACAGCTGGATGGATATTTCCATTGTACTCGAATCTGAGCTGTAGAACTGCCATCGGAAACTGAGGTGTAACCAGCTGTCTCCTCCCTCTCAGGTTCACATTTTGATGGGCTCCTGCTACAAGACAAAGAAGTTCCTGCTCTCCTTGGCTGAAAACAAACTGGGGCCTTGCATGCTCCTCGCTCTCAGAGGCAACCAGACCATGGTGGAGGTATGTCCCCGGCACAGACCGCGCCAAAAACACATACCCACACCCTGCCAAAGAAAAGCGTATTTAGTGTCACATGCATTATGAGCCATCATTATATGTGCTGATCTGCTGCAGGGCAGTAAATAGACTCCTCTAGCATAGTGACAGGCTCAATTTGTCTGCTGAAGGCTCCTGTGCAGATTGCAGCTGTTCTTCTGCTGTACCTTGTTTTGACATTGGCAATTCTTTACGGGTGTGGTTAATAAAAGCTAGTACCTTTAAAAGAGTGCATTTGTATAAGCCTAGATGGGTCACAATGCAGATTTCTTTTGCAAAAGCACAAGCAGTTAAGTCTTTGCAACTTGTCAGTGTTCCTGAAAGTAATGCGTGTAAAAAAAAGCAAGCTGGTTTTCAACTTCAAGTTTATTGTCAGATGTACCCGAGGACAAAGAACTGCTTACTTGCGTGTTTTCCTCACATGACAAATGACATAACATTGACATAGAAAATGACATAACAAATGACATGGCAAATACCCATTCAGGCACGTGGTAGCAGCTGTAATTTTACACAGCATTCAGAGAGCATCAGTGTGCAAAATTAAAGTAGTGGCAATATTTTGAGTTCAGTGCAAAAACAGAGGGGTGTAAATAGGGGTAGGAGGATTTAAGAGGTTTGTTGGCAGAAGGCTGGAAAAGCTAGGGTCTGGCTGAAGACTGGCTGAAGTGTTGCTCTGAGGTGTATCTTAAGAGGGTGCAAATAAAGAAAAAAAAAAGTGCCTCACTGTCTGAAAGGACACTTTCAGTACGCTTTGCCTGCATTCCAGATCCTGTGCTTGATGCTGGAGTACAACATCATTGAGAACAATGACACCCAGCTGCAGATCATCTCCACCCTGGAGAGCACAGAGGTCGGCAAAAAGATGTACGAGCAGCTGTGCGACCGTCAGAGGGAGCTGAAGGAGCTGGTAGGAGGCCTTCTCTCTGGGGGAAAAACTCAACCTGACAGAGCCATAAGATGTTTATGTTCAATTTGTTTATTGTTTTTTCAGGGAAAAGAGAGAATATTACATGGTAGCATATACAATAATGAAAAAATGAGAACAATCCTCAAGACTTGGTACCGAAACAAACTGTGTGAATCCGACCATAATGTAAAAACAGGAATAAAGGAGTAGAAAAAGGGAAAACAGAGATTTGGAAGAGATAAGGAAAGGAAAAAGAGAAAAAGGTTTTGAAAGGACAGAAGAGGGAAACCACAGCCTTCAAGAACTTTACTTGCGAGACATTTGATATTGCTCCTTTGGAAACAGCCATCATTTTTTTTTTGTCCAATGCAAACATTTCTCTGTCTAACCTTTTAGCCTTTCCCACACTTCAATCCGTCTCCTGTGCAAGGCAGTGAGTGTCTCACCCCATTCTAGATATTAAACTTTCACATTGGGACATCAAAAAAAGACACTGTTAATAGAATGTAAAATTCAGAAAGACAAAGATCTCCCAATTGCCTTTCAAACTTTTGAAAAACTTTCATCTGCTTTTTTCCAGCTTTTCTTTTTATCTTGAAAAGTTGGGGCCAAAGGTAATTCATGCAAAAGAGCCACCTAGTGGCTGAGGTTGGAGTAACACCTGTGTAGCTTGCTGGTAAAGTTGTTCATGTGGTCTAGACTCTAGAGCACTGCATGTACTCATCTGAAAGTTTGTTTTTATAGGTACAGGTGTGAACTACAGAGCTACATCGTGAAGAGCTATGCTTCCTTTTCTTAATTCTATGTTTTTGAAATATATTTTTTGTTTTCTACAGCAAAGAAAAGGTGGTCCCACACGACTTACATTGCCATCCAAGTCCACAGTAAGTCTTCCTCCTGGTTTCTGATTCTTACTGAAAGTTTTACTAGGTGAATCCAAAACACCTTTCTCCTAGGGCAGATCCGCGATAGTTCAGCAAATTGACTTTGGGAGAAATGTGTAATTTCTCTGTCAAATATATTTATTTGTACTGTTCTGACCGTCAGTGTTAGGTCCTGCATGGTACACTCAGGGCCAGTCCACCCCAGATCCTGCTCTTGCTGCTTGGTGTTGCGTCACACCCATGCTGTCTCGATGGACATCAGCTATGCTTCTCATTGCCTGGTGTCCATCAACGTTTTGCGTTTGCGTGTCTCTTCTCAGGATGCTGACCTGGCGCGTCTCCTGAGCTCTGGGTCCTTTGGTAACCTGGAGAACCTGAGCCTGGCCTTCACCAATGTCACCAGTGCCTGCGCAGAGCAACTCATCAAGCTGCCCTCCCTCAAACAACTCAACCTGTGGTCAACCCAGGTCAGTATGCCCTCCACCTCCTGCTCCCCCGTCAGCCTCCAGTTTCTTCCCCCTTCCACAGGCCCGTTCCCAAATCCCACTGCCGCCACCAGTCCTGGTGGAGCATTGTGCACAGGTTCCACATGAACTGTCGGGTCTGGCAGTGGACTCATGGAGGAACAACAGGATCACTCATACTTCTGTGTCTGTTAGATGTCTGCATCAAGACTGTAAGCTCATAAATATCACAAGTATTGGCCTGTTTCTTCAGGTATTCAGTGCAGATGTATGCTTTATTTACTTTTTTGCTAAATTATTTGGGTATGATTATGGGTATGATTATTTTAAAAATCCTTCTGAGAGGGGCTTCATCATTGCCTCTACACCTGCTTTTCCAACACCTGATCTATTACTGCCTATACTGCAGGGGTGCTGAATTCTGGTTCTGGTTTTGTAGATCTGATTAAATCTTCAGCACCTTAAGAGCTAGGAACACTACTATAATTAAGGTATTAATTTAATTGGGTCTATAAAAACCTGCAGATGCACAGGTGTCAGGAAGGATTACAAATTCATTCATGGAAGAACTTTACCCATCTTTAAATAATGTCTCTCAGCTCGTTCACATCCTAATATCTGTTTTGTTTTAAAAGGCTCAAAAAGATAACTCGGAAACTGCTTCTGTAGTCTTACAGGTGCTGCCTTTTACGTGTTGGTACTGTAATACCCTTATAAGGTGAACTATTCTAACTGCAGGAAATGATCATTATATTTCCAATAGAAACCAATCATAGACCTCAGCTGTACCAAATGAAAGGTGAAACTAAAAATGGATGATTTCCTTGTCTGTCAGTAGAATGCCTTCCTGTCGCTATCTGCTGTAACATTTCAGCAGGATTCAGTGCTCTTGAGTCTGCCACTTCCCCGATGAAACTCTCTCATTTCTTGATTAGTTTGGAGATGCTGGATTACGACTTCTCTCAGAGCACCTGACTTCTCTTCAAGTTCTCAACCTGTGTGAAACACCAGTGACTGATGCAGGACTGCTTGCACTAAGCTGTAAGGAAACTGTGCCACACCAATTAGAATGAGTATTCTTACAAGAAAAAAAATTAAAGTGCTTTAGAAGAAGTACCTAGTTTCTTAAGTTTACTTCTTGATCTGCTAGCTTTTAAATACTAGAGCCTGTAATCTCTAGATATTATTATTGTTTGCATTTTTTTCCATAACATTAGAAACAGAGTTCTGTAAATTACAGATAGTCTTACAGATTACAGATATGTGATTAGAAATGATTACCTTGCCAGAGTAAAATGGTACTTACTGCCTTAAGAATATATATTCATGGGAATGTGAAAAAATCTATTATTCTCTACATAATTAAAGATCTATCTGTACATTACAGGTTATGCATAGATTGAAGAAGAGAATGACAGTAACTGTAAAGAACATGCCATGTGGTTCTCGTGTGTTGTTTTCCTGAGTTGATGTGACAAAACGGCGGGCTTTTTTTTCCCAGCCATGAAAAGCCTGTGTAGCCTCAACATGAACAGCACCAAACTGTCTGCAGACACATACGAAGATCTCAAGGTAGGCAGCGCTTCTAAATGAAAATCTACATCGGGGTGAACCACTCCACATTTGAAGGGCTGCAACAAATTTAATCAAATTAGCAAATTTTAATTTGAGAGTTCTTAACTTCCTAACTGGATCTTTCAAGTGCCAGCGTTCTCAAGAACCTCTGTAAACTCTGCTGCTTTACATCCGGTAAAGGCACAACAGTTGTCCAAGATGCTAACCTCCTGTGACAGTGCATAATTGGCTAAGTGTTGCCAAGGTGAGGGATGGGATTAGACCTTCAGAACTTTCCCAGGTCTCTTCTATTTCTCCGGCTGATGCTTCTATCCAAAGTGACTTACAGTTGCACTGGGTACAGTTCACGTGAGATGCCTTGCTCAGATTACAACGACTGTGTCTCATTTGGGATTCAAACCCACAGCCCAGCAGAAACAAAGCCAGAACTGAAATCACTGCTCCACACTGCTGCCTTTCATTATACTGCTGTATAACATCAGCTTCCCAGGCACACCCAGTCTTACAGCCACAGCAGTAAGAGATGCTCCAGTTGGCGTTAACTCTCCTGTTAGGTCATCTGGGCTTTGCAGGATTGAAAAAGATTAATGGTTGAAAGAATGGGTGAGTCAGAGGACCTTCTCATTCTACCGGAGCAGTGCAGGAGTTGTTCCAGTGAAAATATGAAGAAATATGTTGTATGAATATGAAGAAACAATTATTATATGAATCCATCAATTAGAAGCCCAGAGAATAACCCTGAGAGATTTTTCTTCTCGGTGCTTTCTGCACCAGAATGGGGATATACTCTTTCAAAGATGGCTGTGATTGCTTTCTCATGTCATGAATTACTGAGATAAAAGTGCATTGTAAAAGAAACTTTCTAGACGGTCTTGCGTCCCAACGCTGCTACCAAATAAAGGGATGGAAGTTTTAACATAATTGCATTCCAGATATGATTTTGTGCCCCGTTAAAGCCTGGAGCGTTGGATGTAATTCAGTTCTTAGTATTTAACAGGGGATTTTAAAGCCATTCCTGGAAGATGGGGTTGTACTGAGAGGGCAGGGGGGTGTTTCCTGAACCTTTTATTACTTAAAAGGAAACAAATGTGCAGGAATGGTAATGAAGCACACAAAGCAGATTTTTCCCTTTCTCCCCTCATCACGCAGTGTGTGTCTGTCATGTGCTCGGTCTCAGGCTGATCTGTCTTGTCTTTCGCTCCTAGGCCAAGCTGCCTAACCTGAAAGAAGTGGACGTGCGCTATACAGAAGCCTGGTGAAACGTTCAGTACAGCTGGTGAGAAAAAAAACGAGAAAAAAAACTTTGTAGTGAGATCTTTTCAGCTCATCTGTTTTGTAGAGCAGCAGGTTTGGGTACTGTGAAAGAAACCAACCTTCTACACACCCATTGCACCTACCATGCATACCTGCCATGGCCAGGACGTCCTGTGTACCCTTGGCCATAGGCAAGCTTCTGAGGAGACACCGAAAGACCTGCGTTTAGTGGTAGACAGACCACACAAGGAAAAAACAAAACTGTGGATTTTTCTTGCCTTTGTGTCTAATAATGCTCTGTGTGGGGTCAAAACAAAAACACATATACTGTATACATCTTTATTTTTGTTTTCAGTTGCGTGGACTTGAATGGACTGTAATTTTTTCCTTCACACGGCTCTGCATTTATTTATATACATTTTTTTTCTTTCTTTCTCTGTATTAAAACAAAGTTTTTAAGAAAAAAATCAAGCATCATCTGAAAGAAGCGTTCATCCAATGCACCCTGAAACGTAGCGTTTCTTTTTAGAGAAAATGATTTTTTTATGTACATAAAGTTATACATAAGTCACATATTTAAGAAAATTATTCACAATAAGGCGGTCTGGGACCTGCTTTTTATTTATGAATTGTAATTCTTTAATTCCCTGTTTGTCTGTCTTGCTTAGAGTACTGTACAAATAATTTGCAGGTATGTCTTGCTTTGGTTTCTATAAAAACTTTGCCCACAAGAACTGCAAAGTTTAGTTTCTATTTTTTGGGGTATGTCTTTTGTCAGTTTTGTTATTCCTGTGCCAGATGTTTTATTTTTTTTTTACAAAATTGAGTCGAGACAGATATTATTAAATTTACTCTGACAGGAGCCAACCAGAAAAATAGATTTTTTGTGTAATTCTTAGACCAAAATTCTCATCTTTCATGTACATGCTTTTTTATTTTTCATTTATATATATATATGACTTCTGTTTCGTCTGACTTAATGGAACATCCTTTGTAGAATACTTTGAATTTAAAGATTTTGGTTTCCAAATCCATTTTAAATATGAAGTGCACTGTTATTTTGTTTTTACTGTCATTTCATTTTTAACCTTCATTATATTTGTGTAGCTGTTGTTTTGCATGTACATAAGCTGCATGTTTTTTTAAATTGAAAAAGTAAACAGTGGTTTAAAAGATTAATTCACACTTAACTACCCACCCAAAACCACTTCACAGTCTCTCAAATGCCCTGAAGCCATTTTTCTCTTCACACACATACAGTGCAAGAACCCCCACAACCGACAAACCACAAACGGAAAGTGAAAGATAGATGTTCATTCCAGAAAGAGAAGGAATTTGTCTTAGATTGGCGTCTCAAGCCTACAAGATATTCTTTCAATTTCTGTTTTGTTTTTTACTGTGGTTAATTCAGTTTTTTCTTTAACATCAGAAACTGAACAGATCTTCTAGGTAAGTTGTACTAGGCCCATAAGAAGGTTATTTATATCATACTAGACATTAAGTACCTAGAACCCTGGTTAAATGTGATTTTTTGTTTCCTTTTCAAAGTTCAGTTTTTGAGGCTGGTAGTTGCTCTGGGGCACACCATGCTTTTGTGGGGGGTGTCTACACATGATGTTGGACTCTACCACTGCTCAGCAATTTACTTTCCTTGTACCTGCAAAGTATGCTGTTTTCGTCATGATTGTGCTACGTTAATTGGGGAACATTATAACAATATCATGGTTGCAAAATATTATTTCAGCTTTTTTTCTGCTATGGAGGCCAATTGTTATCTGTTGTTTTAAATATCTCTCGCATCTTGTTACAAGGTAAAGAAACCCCCACTTCACTGAAACTAAAACCACATCATTTTGTCTGTTTTATTTGTCTTGTTTAGTTCTGTTTGTTTTGTTTTATCGGTTAAGTCTTAATTTGGTTTTGAGTGCCAGGGTTTCCATAGAAAGATTGAAGCTGTATGGCGGTTCAGTAGTGTATACAAACTTATTAAAAAATGCTGCCATTGTGTTCCTCTTCAGCACATTTGCTTTACGATTGGTTTACTACTGTTCTGTAGCTGTTGTAAAAAAAAAAAAATGTTAAAATAAGATGTGAAATAATTTCGAGAAAAATAAACTGTAAGTGAATATGTTTCATCACATGCATTTTGACTCTTTATTTAACTAGGACACACATAAATTGCTGATTTTGGTGCATGACTGATTTGGCTGTATTGGATGTCACTTGGTGTGCCTCTTGTAATATATCTGAATGGGTTTTCAACCTGGTTATTATGTGCACTCCACGGCGTATGTTCTGCAGAAAGATTCAGTGTATTTCCAATGCGTGTTCTGCCTTGGGTATTTATTTAACTTCACATGGAAAGGATAAATGGGAATCAGGGAAAAAAAAGATTTTAGTTTAAAATTATGCCCTGTCAGCTGATTTATAATGTAGTAGTGATTCAGGCTCTCAACTCAGAACTAGGTAGTAGGTTCAGATCCCAGCTGGAGCATAGCTGTTGTACCCTTAAGCAAGGTACTTGACTCAAATTGCTCCAGTTAAATACCCTGCTGTAGAAATGTGTACAAATTGTGAGCTGTTTTGCATAAATGCATCAGATGATTGAAGTTGGCATGACACCCTGTCTTTCCCATGATGGATGATGGAGTTTGATTCTGTTCCTCACTTTCAATTCCACACAAATTGCAATTGACAGGACTAGGCTAGGCCAATGCTAGGTTAGCTTAATTATTGGAACAGAATTTTTATTTTCTGGTTCTTTTTATTATTTCAGTGTGGCGACTGTAGTTGTTATTGTACAAGAAGCGTTGCAAACTTAAAACAATTTTGAATGCAAAGGAAAATTGCTGCGCTGGTCTACGTCCCACCACAAAGATCTCTAGAGCATTTGCAGCACATTTGTTTTCAATTTACATTTCTGAAATGTTTGAGTGAATGTCTGTCCCCTTTTGGGCCGGCAAAGACCCACTGCTGCACAGGAAGGAGCAGGTGTTTCTGCGAGACAGCTGGAGTTTGGAAGTGGGGTGTCCTGACCCCTCAATCACGACAACGAAGACCTTCTGCAGTGGGCTCTGTGGAACTCCCTGGGAGCAAAGGCTGTGGTCCGAGGTGTTCCCCGAGTGGGGACCCTTTCGGTTCAACGGGATCCCTTAAACATTTTTAAAGGGCTTCATCTTGTGTGAATTCGCTGGTGTGGTGTGTTTCTAAGCTTTAAAACACACCAGCGAATTCACACAGGAGAGAGCACCTTACTGCCACACCCAGACTGGGAAGAATTCCAATTCCATTAAAAAAGCCGTCGGATTCCGACCCTGGAGGGGAGAGAGAGAGAGAGAGAGAGACGCTGCTGCCCGGCCCAATGGTACAGTGGTTTCATTGGGTTCAGTGCATTCCTAAAACATATTTCCAGAGTAAGCCGTGCTTCTTCATATAGTTTCTAACAGTCTGTTAAGGGTTTGGAATGTACTGTAAATCCCTAAAGGAGAAAAAAAGTAATTTGAATTGCTTAAAACACTCATTGGTCAAAATGTCAGTAACCATCAGAACCATCAGTAAATATCAGAACACGAGAACCTCCGAGTAGCAGACAATTTAAATAGGACTCAGCTTGGTTACTGTATGGTTCTGGAATGTTTCCTGTCCCGTCAGTTTTCAACAGGAGTGAGATGTGGAGGTTTTTCTAGCTCATGAACATGCTCAAAGCTTGTCTCCTATTCCTTAACTACGTGCTGCAACTGAAAGCCCCTGTTCATTTGACTTTGGGTTCCTAATATTTTGACCAGCAAATGTATATGTGATTAATCTTTTTATCATTAATTCGGTTTATTTAGGGATTAATTGGTGGGGCTATTTTGGAAAGTTTCTAAAAGAATACTGGTCTTAAGCTCGTGTCTGGAAATCATGAGCATAATCTAAGGGCCTTTATTACCTAGCAGTACTCATAGACTGTATGCTGTGCTAGGCTTCTTTTTTTAGGAAATTATTTTATTTTTTCCTTGTACTAATTATACTAGTTGGGGACCCAATGTTAAGACTTACAATATTAAACATTGAATATCCGTAAATAACTATGGCAGACATCGTAAATCAGCTTGTTGCAATTATTTTTTTCCTTATTCTTTCATCTTATGTGCAATTTTTGAATGAGTTGAGTTTACTTTTAAGGCATTCTGGTTGAATCCAAAGTGTCCTCAGAGACTTATGCATGCAGTGCAGTCAGTTTTGCATGTTCTTATCATGTAACTGATAGCATGGTCCTGTGGTTGCACATTAAGTTTGTAGTTAATAATTATACGGGAGCCAGAGTAAATGCAGCAGACCACTGTTGTAAGTTCTTGATATTAGACAAATGGTTTACTGTGGCAATCAATTTGCTGATTGTCACCTTAGGCAAACAGTTAATTCCAAAACCAAAGTACATAATTTAAAGAGTCCTTCAAAACCAGTATAAGACTGAAGAAATTACACTGTCAGGGTGCTCCGCCACAGTTAACGCACTTATATCAAGGACCACTCTCTCAGTTTTTACCAGCAGACACAAAACAAAACCGCACAACACTATCACCACCTCTGAGGCTTAGTGCTCTCAATCTGGAAGCTCCACTATGTTTCTCTCTCTTAAAATTTGCTTAAAACTACCATCATCGGAGCTTAAGACAAACTAGCTCGTCAGGCAGGTCATCTTTCACAAAGGAAACTTCCTCCCTTTCACACAGCTGATCTGCCATTCCTGCTAATTCATCTGGCTGACTGAATTCCCTGCCTTTATGGTGAGAAATGGAGTGAGGTGATGGCTTTTTAACTAATGTACTTTTAATAGCCTGACTTTTATCCACCCCCTCGTGGCCAGCTCTGTGCCCTTTTGTTTGGATTTTCCTTACACTCTCTGACCTGATCTACCACGCAAGTGGTCAGTGTCCGCCCCCACATCATTTTTCACGGAATAGTCCAGTTCGGATTTACCTGTTCCTTTTCACTCAAGTCAAGTCTTGTTAGGGGTGTGAAAACAGAAGACATTGTGAGAGCCCTGAAGAGAAGTGAAAAGGGCACAGGGAACCTCCACCGGATGCTGAAAATATATTTTTTTTTTAGAAGTGAAAAAAGCAGTCAAACCTGGCCACTCAATTCGCTTTACATATTGGCTGTACACCAACCCTACAGGAAGAGAAAAGGTCAGGTTACATTAATAGATATTCGGCACATTTTCCAAATTAAAAAAAAAAAATGACACCATGAGAGCCATTACGTTAATGTCCTCTGCACGTATGCCAATTTTCAGAAAACACTAGGTCACTCCCAAGGCATCTCAAAGATCACCATTGACACTCAACTGGTCTCCTTAGTGAAATCTAAGGAGCTCTCTATCTGTAAACAGAAGCCTAATGACTCCCAGGGAACAGTTCCATAACCACATCCCATGGAGTGCAATTAGCTAACGGCCAGGGTTCAGAGTCCCAGGCAAAGTGCACAGCGACATAGGAAACAATGGACCAGTCTCTGTGGAGGCATTCCCATGCTTGTTCCTTCTTGATTACATGCTGTGTACTGGAGCCTCTTTCTAATAACTGTCCTATCTGTGGTAAGATGTTTTTGTGCATTGGTGGCATGCTTTAAAAGCTCTGAGAAAGGGTTCACGGTTGTCCCGCCTCTCACTCCTCCTCCCTCTCAGCCTTTGTTCTCCCGCTACTTTACCTTTGCCTACTGCCCTGTCTCTCTCACACCTGAAGAATGCTCCACGGCCGAAACGTTGTGTTCTCTTTCTTCTTTTTTTCAGCATGGAAAAAACCTGTTACTTGTTCACTTGCATTAAAGCCAATGTTTGCTTCAAAAACACAGGCAAAAAATAGCACTACTTGTCAGCTTATTTAATATGATTGTTGTAGCTTAACGGCAAGCTTGACCTTCTGCAAATCCATCTAGTCATCATCTTGAGATCAACGTTAGTTCTTATAATGATTTTTATTAACTGTGTGAATGTCATTAAAGACCCACAGGTCTAAACGGTTAACAATATTCCCATTAGAGCCAACAGGACCAGTAGTTCACATTCCCATCTTTCACATTTCATCTACTGTGAGGTGTGGTACTGTACTTCAAAGAGCTGGACTATACATTTTTTTGTGCAAGTAATGAATTATCTCATGCTGAACTGGGGAGGAACCAGTATGAGATGAGGGAGTACAGTGTAACTACTGTATGTTCTTCACTTCTAGCTCTGCAGCTTTTTTACAGAACTCCAACTAAAGATATGGAAACAGTTATAAAAGGCCTTTTAAGTTAATCATCAATTCATTTACAGTAGGTCATTAAGTGCTAAGGCTGAATGAAAGCCAAAAGAATGTGTGGCACCCTGGGACCAGGAGTGAGGGTTGCTGCTGTATAAAATTTAGAAAAATAATATAGAATAGTATAAACTAGTTTGGATCAGAGGTGCACAACGTCTGTGTTGGAGGATCGCAGTATCTGCAGGTTTGTTATCTACCCACCTGCATCATAACACCAGGCTAATTTACAATCAAGATGAATAATCTGTTATTAATCACATTGAACCCCACTTTTGGAACTTAAGGGATTTGTCCTTTTCCAGGCTATAGTCCAGCTCCAGGTGTTTTAATCACATGTCCTAAAGACACAGAAAGCAGCAAATGAATGGAAGTTGTAAAGTCAATTCATATTACCATCTTGTAATCATCAGCAAAACACATGTGTAATTTGTAATCATGTGGATTGAGTAAGTTAAACTCATGTCTCATGATCTTGTGTACCGTATTTTGAAATTATTTCTTATCATAAGGAAGTTGAAGAAATCCTGTTACTGTACCTTCTGTATTGTAACATGCACCAGAAGTGATGCCAGCTCAATCTCTTCACTGAATCCATTTGTCAGTGGAACTGCTCTGAAGTCTGCAAAACAAACACCTAATTCAGGACAGAATCTCAACAGGCATTGCAATGGAAAAAACAAGTCAGACTATAACTATCACCAAGTAATTTAATACTCCTCTCAAATAATTCTACTGTTTACCAATCAGGCCTCCCAATAATCTCTGTCTTTGAATTGGCTTCATCACTCTGCTCTCATCTCCACCAATAGCTGATGTGTGGGGAGTGTACTGGCACACTATGGCTGCTGTCGCATCATCCAGGTGGGGCTGCACACTGGTGGTGGTGGAGGGGAGTCCCTATTACTTGTAAAGAGCCTTTGAATGGAGTGTCCAGAAAAGCACTATATAAATGTAGGGTTTATTTATTATCATACACATTAAAACTTGATAATAAACCAGTAAACAAAAAAACCTGGCAGAGAATATTAATATTAAAGATAAAAGACAGTAGTTACTGTTAATATGGTATTTACATTTTTATTAGATGATAAGAGTGTTCAGCAACCTCTAAATAGATTTAATATCTGAATTGAGGTGTCTGTAAAAGCAGGACAGTCTTACCCGTCTTGACTGCTCTGAGAGGAAAGGTGGCCTGAGCCAGAAAGCTGGGGTCACTGAACGTATCCTCCACAGATACAACGAACTGAAGGAAGGCCAAGTCGGAATTATTGACGGAAAACGTGTATGTTGGAAATATGTCCCACACCGGATTCAGACCATTGTCGCCTACAGGTACAAAGAGAAACAATGTGTACAGAACACTGAGCCAACAACTAGCTGGACATGCGGCAAAACATCACTGTTCTGTCATGGTTTAAGGTTGTGATGATCAATCCTGGTATTGAAATGGCCGATATGATTACATTTCACTGGAGCTATTAATTGCTTAAGTGTACCTAAATTATTTTCTTAATATGTCAAAGTTACCAGTTCATTGCTCCCAAGTAGTGGGCAGATAAATGGCTCAGAGTCTAGAGGTTAAAGCTTGGATCACCTCCTATGCTAACAGTTAAGGATGATCTGTCTAGGGGTCTTAGTGAAAACAACAGCACTTGCAAACACAAGTGTGCTTACAGGCTTGCAGTGATGGCCGTAAGAGATGCTCTGCTCAACCATTCAGCAGAAACACTCCTGCAAGGCACTATGGGCCCAACAGCATGTCAAAAAATGTCCCATCTTTAACCCCCACCTTGAGCAATACAGAAGTCTTTGTTTCGAGCTGGGACATTAAAATGATGGATGGATGTTTGCCCATTATGCCTTCCAGCATTAGTGTTTTACAGGACAGGGTTGTTAGCCTTGTGCCCAACCTCCAACATGGAGGACATGGTGCCTGACCCACTACCCTGAGATTATGATTTTTCCTGCAACTGTAATAAAATAAGTACTATGTTTACTATGTTTAATCTTTGTACAGTATATTTACTGAAACCATAATAGTGTTGCACCTGAAGGGATACATTTCTTCATTCCTGAAGGGTCATATACATGTATACTACAGTTTTAATTGATCAGCCCCGATCCCCAGGGCACCCAAAGGCAATTTCTGCCTGGAACGGATGTAGCCTTTAAAATCTTGAATTATCTTGGAAAGTACAGAATACACAGTACAGGCCTGGTTAGAATCTTGAATTCCAGGTAACCCCTTGGGCATCAAGCCTGAACCTTCAGATTACACACAATAAAGTAATACATTCTTTATTGTATTGCTTGTATTTGAAAAAAAAAAATCTAAATAGAAGCCTAGACTTGTGCAAAAATAAGTATTCAATTATTGCAGCATGGATGTTTTATTTGTGCTCTTCTGGGCCAACCTAAATCTGACACCGATTGAACAAATCTTAAAAAAAAATCTTTTTTCAAAGTTTTCTTTGCCTTACAAGAAAAAATATAATAATTTATATTATTTGAATTATTACTTCTGCAATCATCATTCAGCTCCTAGTCCTGCATAATTTCAACTCAAGTCTTACCTTTGCCAGGACCTAACAACAGCCCGGCATGGGGAGCAGTAGATATGAGCTGGATGGGTCTGCCTGTGAGTTTTACAGCACCGCATTCTGGCAGTAGGACAAACCCACAGGCCACAGGCACATAAATAAACTGCCAAGCCTAGGCACAGGAAATACCCCTTGTATAGTAATCACTCCAGCAACTTACTTATTTCCTTAATCTAAGCATTATTGGATATTCTAATAACAGTGGACACCTGCAGATCAGGTGACCACACAGGGCTTCAGATATGTTTTAATTAGACATGTACCAAAATTCAGATTTTCACTTCTGAAAGCTTCAAAGCACTTCCAGCTAAAGCAACATCCTGCAGACGTTATTGAAGTCTTATTTCATTCGGTTCTTTCCCCTTCACTCTGCATCTGTGGCACTCTGGATGGAAAGTGCTCTCCCCACACTGTGAAAACTAACAAACTTAGTTCTTATTCTAAATTCCGGTTCTGGAATGTAATATCTGGGCAGCATGATGGCACAGTGGGGAGCATTGCCTCACAGCGCTGGGGCCCTGGGTTCAAATCTGGCCCGGGGGTGCTTCAGCAGGTGTGGGTTTCCTCCAACAGTGCAAAGACACACTGGTAGGTAAATTGGCTCCAATACAAATTGGCCCTGGTGTGATGGACTGGCATCCTGCCCAGAACGTACCCTGCCCTGAGCACATGCTTGCTGGGATAGGCTCCGGTTCCCACGTGATTCTCAATTGCATGAAGTGGTTAAAAAACAGGTGGACGGAATCCGATATCTATTTTACCTCAATGCAATTCCATCTGAAGTCCAAACTGATGCAGGATAGAACTTAGATGTTGCACCGGAACCGAAATACTGAAATGTGGCACTTACTGTATACTGTACCTGCAGTACACAACACAGAACACAGTTTCACTTACTGTAAGTCAGAAGTCATCACACAGTCAAAGGAGTATGTATCATGCTTTCAGTAATTAATAACAGGCACAGCCAATGAACTGCAAAAAAGAGACCTTTAAAGTAACCTCTGACATTCGCTGTGCATCGGGGTTTGCTCTGTCCTCCTTTCCGGTTTCCACCTGATTCTTGGCTCTGTCCAGTGGAGGTTAGAGTGGTGATGGCAATGTGGGTCCTCCTGCTCGGTGATAACAGCTCTTCAAATGAGCTAAGCATGTAAGAGATACAGAGCACAAAGGGGCACCTCGAATGGAGGGGTCAAAGGTCAATAAAATGATGCAACAATGCAATATTTGATACTGCTTCACTTTTCATGGCATACATTCATATTAAATTGAGATGCAACCATGGGTTAGATTAATATGAAACAAAGCTATTAAATACTTTTAATCATAATTTAACAAATCACCGTTTATAAGTTGACCACACAAATAACAATACTGAGAGGAAAAACGAAATCTTATGCTTCAGGCTCGGGTTGAGGAAGTTGACTGTGTAAAGGCTCGACTCTCAGCTATCTTGTAAGGGACATCCACCATGCAAAGCTTAAATACATTTTGTTGTATTCCCGTTTTTAAAATTGTGACAACAGTAGTTAAACATTTATTGAAAGTAATCACGCAAATTAAACAAGAAGTTAATATGCAATTATACACGAACAGTATTTAAAATTATATCATGCTAACTTAGGCATTAACAAGTATTTAAATAAAGGTTTCTTTGCCTGAGCTCTCCTGACTTACCCTGTGTTTCTCTGGACTACTAGTCTCCTTGAGAAGATTATAATGATACTTGTGTTTTTGTTTTACTGAACACAGGTGAAGTCTCAATTCTCAAACTATGTTCTTCTTTGTCATGTTTAGTATACTGACAGTAAAGGGTAAATATATTTAAAATGTACAGTAACTCTGGAGATGTTTTCTGGATGTTAAGTTTACATTACGGTACTTGAGAATTTGTAAAGTATGGCAGCCTTTTAGTTAACACATTCTGTTTTATTCCCAAAAACTGAGCAAGATCAGGAAAAAGGACATATACAGGTACACATGTTTTCAGCCTTCTGAGAAGCACACCTTAAACTAGATCCTATAAGTAAATTAAAAAAATCACAAGTGTTGCTCAGTTGTTGTGTTCTATAAAATTTTTTAACAAAAGCATCAGCCAAAACAGGAAAAATAATTATCTAATTATTTGAGTTTCACTATTTACAGAGACTTTGTATTGCTCAATTGTTATACTGTATATAAAAACGTATTTTCATATCTGCAACAGTATACAGTTAACCAAAAATGAAAACATCATCAGAGGAAATATTGACACTTTGGAAGAATGAAAAGATTTCAATAAAGACTTTTATTCAAATAATAAAACTTGAAGGATAAAAAACCTGTCTCTGAACAAGTGTACACTTTCACCCTGGTTTCTAAAACAGCATATTGAATACTGAATTAAAACAGCCCAGAAACAAGAGCAATAAAGGATGTGCTTTAGAAGCAGACAAAAAACAAATCCTGCTAATATTACCTATTTTTCCTGAAGAACAATATCGCGTTATTAGTTTGGCAAAGACGTTGCATCAATATAAATAAGACACAAGCACAAATTAAACAGTAAAAAAACAACCATCAACAGCATGCTAACAGCAAACCGCACTGTCTGTCCGCATCCTGTGTGTGATGAGATCCAGCTGGTCAAAGGCACCTCAGCCACCGAGGTGCTGAGGAAGTCCAAGTCCAGGCCAACGCCAAATCTTCAAAGTCGCTTCGCGTTGAGGACGAAGAGCAAAACCCTGGTTTCACGAGTAGAATTTGCTGTTGTTGATCTTTTTCTCCTTCAGCCTTACGCGTAAAAGGAGAAAAATAAGAGACGGAAGATGAGTATGCTTTGTATTTTGATTAAGAAAGTGAAGTTTCTAACTTAAATGTGGAGACAGCTGTGAGTGTGAATCAGCCCACAGCCTCTCAATGTCATCGCTGATGGAACGCCCTTGCTCCGACTTTCTGAGAGACAAATTCCTGGTTTCTTTTCAAATCTTAAAAACACAGTTTTTACTAGGGTTTTAGACTAGGGTCTGATTGTCTTACAGTAAATCCCCATTTCATCTGATGTATTTTTTATTGATTTTTACACTTGTTCTTCTTTCTCACTATGTACAGTGTCCTTTGGTTTGGAACGTTATTTGCTTTAACAAATGTTTGGGTCAGTGGATGCCAGCTGAGAGCTTCAGTTCCACCTTTCACAATAACTGCCAAAGGTTTGGAAGGAAACAGAAAAACAGGTTAGAGACCACAGGATGGCAACTGTTACTGTATGTCCCATATTTATCTGATGCTCACGCTTTCGGGTACAAAGCAATATCACTCGCGCCACCTGCTGGAAGTTTTTTTTTAAGTGTGCGTCACGCATACTTCTGCTTGCAGGTGTCCTGGATCTTGTGTAGTTGCCTCTCGTTGGTGCTGAACTCCTTCATCAGCTCATCGCGGCTGTTAATCTCCTTTTGCAGGTTCTGGTGAGTGTCGTAGAGGAAGAGCTCATTGGACAGTTCCGCCTGGCGTTTCCGCAGCTGGCTACAAGACAGGTAGAGCTCCTCTTCGGTTTTCTGGATGTGAAGAGAAAAGGATAATGAGAGAGCAGGGTTTTGTGGGGGAAAAAAACATGAAGTCTAACATTAAGACTGCTGAAATATTTCATTTGCTTCCTGACCTCTAATGAGCAAAAAATGTTTTCGTTCATGAAATTATGCCTGAACATTTATTGGCAAAACAAATGAATTTTGGCTTCCACCTGAAAATGTAATCTGAGCACACTGTCCTGTTAATACTTAAGGTAACAAAAAATAGTTGCAAAGATAACTGCAATGTGAGGTAGACACCCAGTAGTATTCGTATAGTACATACGCAGGCAGAACTGGGTGAGATTAGAGTTTGACCTCCTTTGTAACTTTCTTTTAAAACTCTCTGGGCTGCTGTTATAAAAATAACAGATATTAATACCTCATCGGAATTATCTTCTTTTCTTTTCATCAGAGAGCCTTACCTCCACCTGCTGCACATCGATGAACACCAGAAGAGAAGCGAGCTCAATGTCTTCACTGAATCCGTTTTTCAAAGGAACAGATCGGTATCCTAGCAAGAGAACACCAGGGGAGTTTAGCACAACCAGCAGAGCTTGAAGGGAATCCTTGCTGCTGGCTTGTATTATTAATAATATTATGTAGTTTGGGTGGGGAGCTGCGTCAGCATGCGCAGGCTGCAAAGGAACAAGTAATAGGTTTATTCCCTGCTGAAAAGAAAACACAATGTTTCAGCCGTGGAGCCTTCTTCAGGTGTGAGCAATAATAATATTATGCAGATCTTGGTGTAGAGATGCCAAGCAGGGAAACAGAGGTGCTGTCTTCTTTGGAACCCGTTTATACAGGGATCTAGACAATTAATGTGAATTTTCGGCAAATTTTCCCTGCTGCATGAGCATACTTGATTATACTAGAGAGCAAGGCTAAAACAAGTCAGCCCTTTTCCCCCCCACAAAAGACAGATTGTTTAGATCAAATTGTATCTACTAATGTTGTGTGCCACATTAAATCTGGATCTATTTTTTGTCTTAGGTCTGGATTTCAGCACTTGTTTTTGAGAACGGGATGCCTCGTTTGACGTGACTGGTCTGGTTTGAGTAAAAAAAAACACAGTAAATTATATAATAGTGTTTGCTGTTCTTCTTGGATTTTGGTTGAACAGTGATTGGTTGTTTAACCTTGTACAGTACGCGTTTCAAATGGTTTTGTCTTTGTGCTCTTATTTTTCGCAGCACTTGAACAGATCTGCTGATAGAGACTACTGCAACACTAAATAGCCAGACACACAGTTCACATATGACAAGCGCTATGTTTAAAACTGTCATGATTAATCAAGGCATTTCAAAATGTGTTTTTGAACACCGTTCTCTTAATTATGATGCAGAGATCACGTGAAAAGCAATAATTACAGTTTAACAGGAGGTGTCTTGGTGTAAAGTAAACCAAAAAGCCCCTCGAGTCCCACCTGTCTTGATGCCCTTGACAGGGAAGGTCGCTTCGGCCAGGAAGTTGGGGTCAGAGAACATGTCCTCCTCGTTGACCACGAATCGCAGGAAGGTGAGCTCTGGCTCGTACACCATGAACTGCACGGGCTCTGGAGGGGCCGGCCACACGGGGTTCAGCCCATTGTCATCTGAGGGGCAGAGAGCAGGCCTGTAAGCGGTTCTGTTCTCACCTTACGCCCTCAACTCTTCCAGTCCCTGACAGTGCAGGACTCGCACAGCCAGAACACTGCTTACTGAATCGATCTTTAATTGCTCAAATGACCCTCGGAAGGAAGAGTGTGACAAAGGTTCAGCAAAGGGTGGAGGGAAGACTTGCAATGGACTGGAATGAAAGACGTCATGTTGCCATTGTCTGGCCTGCATCAGCAGAAAAAAAGCACGATATACATGAAAGCAATTAAAATCATTATTAATTATAAATCGGCTTCTTTTAGAAATAGCACAGTAACCGGTCACACAGTAATTAAGCCAGCTTTTCATTTTGAGAGCCATCTACTGTATTTTATCTTCACAAACATGTTCTACTTTGCAAATGAGTAATAAGACTATATTACTATATATATATATGCAATACTCCATCCATCTGCCCATTTTCTAACCGATATTTCCTTTCAAGCCCAAGTCAAACTAAACATTCATGGTTGTGCTCATAAACCAAAAGACTTAACAGGAACCTCCTTATCTAAAAGGGCTGTAACTCTGGTGTCCTGGCCAAATTTCCCTCTGGTCTTTACCAGTCATGGCCTCCTAATAATCCCCATCTATGAACTGGCTTCATCACTCTGCTCTCCTCCCTACTTATAGCAGATACAGTATGTGGTGAGCGTACAGGTGCACTTTGGCTGCTGGTGCACCATCCAGATGAAGGCTACACATGAGCGCAGTGCCCAGAAAAGCAATATATAAGAGTAAGGAATTTATGTTAAAACCAGTTTAACAAACAGCTGTGTTTCATGAGGGCACTGTCAAAACCGAATAGCAGTACAGTCTTTATTTCCAAACAGGGGACTTACAGTCGTGGAATGGATCTGAAACAGTTTATACTGTAGATGAAGAAGACCATAGTAATGCTCGCAATACTTACTCTTCACGATCGTTTTGAATTTGCTTTCTTCTGCATTAAGTCCACAGAGCTCTATTTCTACAAATGGGCTGGTAATGCTTCTGCCAGGTTTGGGGAGGTGGCGGGCAGCGATTACCTTTCAGAACACAAGATAAAACTGATCACCACAAATTCGAACAAGCCTACGTTACATCCTGCCGGGTGTGCGGCACTGCAGTGACACACCACCAAGAAAAGAGAGAGATCAAAGGCACAGTTAGGAAAAAGGTCATAAAGCCATTTAGACCGTCAGTACAGTAGAACGTACCAGCCAACATGTTTGAGACAAAAGTAATAACCTCATACTTATACTGTAAACCTCTCTGTGACAATTTGTTTCATAGTAAGCAGTAAGCAGGTTTTGATGGCTACTGTTCGAAATATGTCAGTGTCAAGAATCGCAGCCATCATATCTGGTCATTTCTAAAATGCAACATAAAAAAGTCAATTAAAAACACACAAAAATAGTGCATTGGATAACAGATGTCTTTGGTTTTCACTGCCTCAGGGTAGAGATAGATTATATACTGGTGGTAAAAAAAGAAACCCTCCGTTTCCGAATAATCCATACTTCATTGCTTTCAACCAACAAAAAGTATTAAATATTTAAGAACAGTAAGCTACCAAAACAAGCCCATTGGTATACATGAGGTGTGAAGCCCTTCTCATAATTAGGCACCGCACAGTAAATGTTCGAATTGACAGTTAAACAAGTTGAACATTTTTAATTGCATCCAAATTGAAAGACGTGATCCTGTAACTCCTCCTCTGTGTGGCTAAGTGGACACTGGGGATGAGTTCAGTTTTGCAATAACTGTTTAAACTGTCTCTGCTATCAACACTGTTCGTACCAACTTCTGCAGCTGCCAGCTGCTCAGAATTTCCCCACTTCCTGCGAATCCCCCCCGTCACAGCCCTGCTACAATCCTCATGGATTTTTCCGATACTTAACTACAGTATGTCTGGAAAATGTGCGATGCATTAAGATGCTGTAAAATGACAAAGTTGGTACTTCGGTACATAAAGTGTTTTAGGTGACTGCAACAAGCCAATCAGCTCCTCTGTTGAAACAGATGCTCTGACTTCCTCAGATCAATCACCTACTGTAATAGAAACCAAACAGGATGAATGCCTTAGTTTCCAATTGACCCCTAAAGACCTGATGAAGCAGATGAAGAACTGCTTTGCATGAAGGAGTCCCTTACTCGGACAGTGATGATGAGCTTGACGTTTCTTCTCTCCAAGTGAGGGTCATAGGAGTCATTTCTCATCATCTCCGGCTGGAGCACGTAGCCAGTCCTTCCATTGAGGGTGAATAAGGCGTTGTTTAGCTGCATGTACTTGTCTAAGGTTAAACAGACACATTTCTTAAATTGCTTATTGTGTAACAAACGCGACCAGATCATAATCATACAGAAGAGGGTACAGCTAACTGATATATACTGTGTGTGTGTCCGTTTAACCGTTGTTTCATAACATTATCCAATGCTTGTGCTTTAAAAGAAAAAAAAATGAAGCAAATGTATCCGGGTCACTTTAATACTAAAAGCCTGGTCTGAAGAATTGTGCTTAAAGGGACGCTGTCCTTTAGATTTGACTTCCTGTTCACTCGGTCATTAAAATGATCACATTGTTTGTTACAGTAGTGTTTTTAACTAAATTCCATTCTGGGCTTGTACAATCTGGTCTACCCAAAGTTCACCCCTAAGTCAGCCGTCCATCTATTTTCCAACCACTCCTTCCAAATCTGGGTCAAGGGGGAGCTTGAGCCAATCCCAGCAGGCGATGGGGCACAAGGCGGGATACAACTTGGTAGGGACTCCAGTCCATCGCAGGACAGATACAAAGACACACACACACACTCACACCAGGGACAATTTTCCCAGAAGCCTATTTACATACCGGTATGTTTTTGGAGTGTGGGTGAAAACCAGAGCACCCAGAGGAAAAACAAACACGGTCATCCCAGGTCTGAAATTGTACCCAGAAGCCCAGTGTGTTAACCACTGCACCAACATGCTGCCTTCACCCTTAATTAAACTGGAGCCTTTTCTCACTCCTCCACCTGATCTGCTGTGGAGCAGAACAGCTGCTGCGCATCAACCAGGAGAGAGCTGCACTTCAGTGGTGGATAAAGTGAGTTCCCTCCTGTTTGGGAAGTGCTCTGGGATGGTTTAGGATGTCAAGTGCTCAGTAAATAATGACGTCTGCTGCTGGTGAGTGTGGGCATCTTACTTGACCTAGCAGGACCCGTTGAAATAAAGATTTCTGGGGACTGGAGCAAGCTCATTCTTCAAAAATATACTGAGAGAAACTTTGTACCCATGTGCTTCTGTTTTCGATTATTAATGCCAGTCATCACCTGGAGTCTGAAAGTTAAGAGCAACCATATGACTCCCACAGGTCCAGAGAGGGTAGGGGTCATAGTTGGAGGAATCCACTCTTTGGCCTTTGGGGTAGATCCTACTCAGAGCCTTGCGGTTGTATCGAAGAAATTCTTTGGCTGTCCTCTTGGGTACTGGAGCTTTGTTCTCCACAAAAGAGCGGATTTCCTTGTAGTCGTACTGTGCTGGAGAGAGGAAATCCACCACTTTCATTACCTATATTGTGGTAGTTTGTTATGCAGTAGTTTTAAAAACTTACATTTACATAAACTTCATTTATTTTACCTTGGTAAAAAACCTCATTGAGAATTTCTGGGGTTCCTATGAGAAGATGACTTGTAGGTGGCACTTGGATGCTTTGGTTTGATCAGGGGTGGTACTTGGTCCAAAAAGTTTGAGAACCACTGGTTTAGGGTATATTAAATACTAAGTATTCAAAAACATTCTCTTTTGAAAACAAAACTACTGAAGCCCAACAAGTTAAATGGTGTAATTGATTGATCGGTTGTTCAAGAGGAGTTTGAAATCTAATCTCACTGTTCCATTTACCCATGCAAATACCCTCTGGATACCCAAATGTCTGTGCACTCCGCCCTCCTCCCCAGCTTCACAGTCTCAGCTGCCTCCCTGATTCATTCCTCGCGAGTGAGCTGGTCCGTTACAGAGCCGATCTACTGACAGGACTCCAATTCCCACAGTCACATGAATTGATGCCAACGTATGAAGCACAACATCCATTTATATTCATCAGCTTGTGTCAGCAATATTAGAATTGGACCAAAATACCGAATTTATAGTATATTGTCTAGATAAATATGTGCGCACATCAAGTTAAAGTGGCTCTAATCCGTTTCCTTCATGCGAGAAGATCATTTGTGATGCTGGTTGTCCTAGATTAAGCACTTACCAAAACTGTCCTTGTCTTTGCTCCTTGGCTGACAGTAAACGACAAGGTCTGACATCTCAATCGCCACCAGGTCCCTCTTCTCGCTCTCTTTCTGCTGCTCTATCTGCAATGAGAGCAACACAGCGCTGACTGCACACAGCTGGGCACAGTTCTGGACCTCCTCGTGAAGACACAGAACCAAGGCAGGTCCGTGAGGCAAGAAAAACGCAAAAACAAACTCAAAATCGGCATGACACCAGGCAGAAACCTAATTCTAAACTAAACCACAGACCCCCGTTCCTTTAAAATATAAGAGACCTAGTGCATAGCTGGCATTTAGCTGAATACAGGCTGATTATGAAATATTGTATTGAGGCAACTGAAAGGTGAAAAGTAAAGCATGAATCCAGGAGTAGTTTGAACACCAGATGGCGATATAACACCAGTATTAACCAGGTTCTGCACTGGATCACCAAGAGAGAAAACCGCAGTGTCTCCTGCTGTTATCCAAAATTCACTGCTTCAGGGTGCACAATTGTCAACACTGGGCAAACACCCAGGAGATGACATTTTACAGTATGTAGAAAAGTGCAGGGTTTAACATGCAGGTAGCAAGAATGTACTATAAATATCAAATGGAATACACTGCTCTTGAAGAAACTGCATATGAAAAAGACTGAAAATCTAGTCAACTATGGTGAGAAGCAATACAAAAGCAGACAGAATGTAAGCATAAAGGTAACTGAACTGTTAGAACAACATATCAGAAATGTCAGTCGTAATAAGGGTTACATGGAGCTCATTTGGTTGCTTGTAAGCTTACCACATTTAAAAGGAGTGGCACTGTTTTATACTGTAAGTAACAGGAACTTTAAAATACCTGTGGGTCCACCTCACTATGCAAGTAGTTTATGAAAGAAGTTGACTGGATTAGTATTGAGAGGATATACTATAAGCCTTAAAGAAGTAAATCATTACTTGTGAAATTTGTGGTACATTATACAAAACAAAGGCAAATATGTACTGTCGATGAATTAAGAAGTTCATAACCTTAAGAGAGCGTCTCCGTGGTTCAGCATAAAATAAAAAAAGTAAAACAGAGAACATATTAATCATCTGTTATCTAACCATTTTGTGTTACACTTTAACAGTGTACAAAGATGATTGCTTAAGCGTTGTCACATGTGAAATACTATAATGTCTCCACCCAGTAGAGCAGGAAGTTCCTGTGTGTGACACATTCTAATAAGCAAAGTTTTCTAATCAACAAAGACACCACTACAAAACAATTACAGGTCAGTGTTTTCAACAGCAACCATAATTGACCGCCATGCAACATCAGTGGTTCAGGGATATCTAATTCCCTGCAAATACTTGTCAGGAGTAATACAGGTTTCAGGCTGTCTCTCGATGCTACCAGGTTTCAAATGTCTTACTAGGACTTGGCTGAGCGGTGGCTCTGTGGCTCAGGATCTGCACCTGTGGCTGGAAGGTTGCCGGTTCGTATCCCGTGGACGGCAGAGGAATTGTACTCCTGAGCAAGGCCCTTAACCCCAACTGCTCCAGGGGCGCTGTATAAATGGCTGACCCTGTGCTCTGACCCCCAGCTTCTCTCCCTGTCTGTGTGTCTCATGGAGAGCAAGCTGGGGTCTGCGAAAAAGACAAATTCCTAATGCAAGAAATTGTATATGGCCAATAAAGTGATCTTAATATTTGGATGATTTGGACATGACACAATGGTTTCTTCCAAAATTAATTTTTAGAAAAAAGCTATACAATTGCAAGGCAACAGAGACTTCCTGAGCTATGGGGCTGATATGACCACTACCTCTTGGGTACCTCTCACCTTGAACTGTTTGCTCTTCTCATTCTCTGTGATTGCCCAGATGACCGTGTACCAATCGAAGAGCTCTTCCACAGTGTCTGTGGTGACGTCGAAGGGCTGCACACCCTCCTCCTCCTTGGTTTCGATGGTGAGCAGAAATTGCATCCCATTCTTCTTCTTCTGTGTTTTACCTGTTGTCGTTGTACAGGCTACAGTCAGGCATCGGCTGAGCTTCACACAGAAATTTGCACTGTCTTCTGGACAGGTCTCTATACCTTTACCTGCACTGTAAAGTCTGACTCACCCTGTTTTTGAAAATCCACATAATGTCCATTAATAGGCATGTTGGAATTAATATTTTCTTTAAAATATTTCAAAACAGGGGGCCAAAAACTTATTTCACTTAAAAGGCCTTATTCACACCATGATATTCAAATGGTTGTCTAACTCAGGTTGTTAGTTGTTTGAAGGAAACCATTAAAATATTGCTCAGCGGGGCAATTTCAAGCTTCTTGGTCTTGCTTTGCCTTTTCTATTGCCAGAACAGTCCTGACAATACTCAGAACTCTGTTCCCAATCATCGTGATCTACCAGCTCAGCAGTGGCAAATGTTAACAATACACCTCCAGTTTTCCCGTTGGGTTTGAATGGGTCTTCCAAGAATCAAAGGCAGAGCTCTTATTTCCGAAAAATATAGCCTGCACTTTTAAAGGTCGCCCAAAGTGACAGATCGGGTTCCTCACTGCTTGACAGAGCTCCACTAATACGCCTACTAAACATTTTATATTTCCACTCTGTCAAAGGCTGAAAGTCTTCAAAACACCCTCGTGTTTCATTTTCCTTTCAAGTCAATAAAGCTCATCTCTAGCGTAGTAGTGAAGTAAAAGCAACTGAAACTTTAGCTGTTAGAATTTCTACATTTTGTGTTGCGTTTACCAAGGGAAGAACTGATGTGATGGTCACTGTCACTTGCATGCAGCTGTGAAAGTACCTTTTAACACATCTAGCGTGATGAAAGATAAGTTAAGTAAGTTCTTACAGACGGTGCATTTGGAAAGATCCACTATTCCTTTGCAGAGCTCTCCAAGAGGGTTGTCTTCGACGACCTGCACAAAGCAACGAAAGGTAGTTTTTACAAAATTGTCTATTTTCAGGTCCACTTTCCTACCATTGTCTCTCTGCTGTGTGTCTGGTTTTACTTGCAGTTCCTGTCAAGACAACCACAAGCTCAAACTTTGCTTTAAAACCTGGAAAAATATCTTCCTACAGCAGCCTTCAGTAATATCAATCACAAAACGGCTTATTTAAACACTTGTGCTTATGTACAATGCTGCACTTTTTAATCAATTTGAAGTGTCCTACAGAATGTTATATGAAAATACATAAATCCTTTAAAATGCATTTGACCTACTTACAATACAATGAAAGTATCATTGGTAATACCAAACCGGACTGCATGTACAGTATGAGTGCAAGAGGCTTTCTCTCTTCGTCCCAATATCAAACCCAGAATGCACATGCTCTCGTCTCTTGCTTTTGAAAGGCATGGGAACCCCTGCCCAACTTCACCTGGTTTATTGGCTCAGCATTGTTATTGTTGGAAACCTCCTCTACGTAGTTTGAAGGAAAGAACAACTGCACTTTTCCCCCATAGTCTCCTTTCCACCTGCAGGGACATTGAAAATGATCATGTTCACAACATCCACAAGGTCACCCTGTTAAGTCAATCTGATAAATCATTTGCAAGTGCACTGCCCAAATCCATCCACCTCAGCATTACAGTTCTACATGCTATTTTCCTGTGTACAAAATCAGAAGCGCTCCTACAGTATATTGTTATATAGTGGAGTGCTTCCCTTGACAGCCGAAAGTCTACCTTTTGGGAGGCAAGCATACAAGAAGAGAAATTCCCACCCAATCAGCCCGACCATCAGTCTAAGAATGAAAAATCACCAGCCCTGTGCAATTCAGTCCTAATTTCCAAGGTACGTAATCTGGCAAAGTGGAAATGACTGCGCTAATGCTAATCCATAGGCAGAATTCACTATTGATATTATTACTAAAACCAGTTTGACAGAATCCCCAAGCAAGCATACCTGGCTCAAGCTTAGAAGAAAAGCTTAATTGTAGCACAGACCAGCTGATTTTCTGGCTCTGCATTTAGTTTTAGGCCTCAATTTTTATGAAGTGAGACTGAAACAACTTTTATTGTTCCCTTACCAGCCGCCATCTTCCTTCACAACATTGTGGATCAGAGCTCCCTTGCAGAAGTTCAGCTCGTCTGATCGCATAGCTCTGTAGTCGTAGAGTGCCTTCACCGTGTTCTTGGGCTGTCAGGGGGAAAGAGACGAGCCACCTCAGCAATAGGCATATAGCGGGGGATCTGTGCAGCAGTTTTAAACAGCTTTTGTGGGAGATGCTCTCTCTTTTGTCCTGTAATCGCTCTTCAGTTTTGAAATCAGTTCACAATGAATCCAAAAGCACCTCTGCCCGTTTCTTGGCACCTGATGCTACTGGTCATGCACAGCAGATGCCTGCAACCACTGAGAAACAATTCAATAAACACTTCTGTCCTTGATAGTTTATGTCTAAAATAAATGCACTGCATCTAAAGGGAGAGCAACTGCATGGTCTCTGACAAGGAAAAATATTTTGCAAATGCTAAAATAGATACTAAAATGTGGGAAACAATATTCACACACACCATCAAAGACAGTGGAAAGAAAATGAGAATGAATAAACAGCCATTGGAAATTAACCTATGCTGATTTTTGCTCACAGAAATATATTCCATTTCATTTTATTTTTACCATTAATCGAAATTAACTTACCAAAGAGGGTTCAATTTCGTTGGGCTGCACGTACATCTTGAGTTCATACAGAGAGGCAGAATCTCTCTCCTGTCAGACACAGCACAAATTTGACTTGAAATGAGGCTAGTGCTTACCACTTCAACACCAACCAAACCACAGTAACAGTAGGGTACAGCACAGTTTGTCAGAAAGTTCTAGAAATAATGATATCCTGTCATAGTATTACTTAAGTGTCTTCTTCACAACCTTACTGCTTGATGGCCAAAAAGGATTTGGAAACTAATCCTGACTCGCACAGGTCCCAGAGACTGAGAATTTAAATGTCCTGGAAATTTTACACGGATGCCTAACAACAGGTACTGTAACTTCAAAATCACTGCCTTGTCAATAATAATAATCGTCAACACCAACAATAATTCTTCTAATTGAAATCAGAGAATCAAAATCTCAGAGTATTCTTGAAATCTGCATACTGTAATTATTCAAAAGGTATTTGTTTAAAAAGGTAAAAATTTAATTTTTCTAGCCTTAGTTGGAAATTTCAGCATGATCTACAAAAGGTCTGTAGAGTATTTGTAGAGGTACAGTATTGGTACTTTGGTAAGTATTCGTATTTATTAGCGGAACAGAAATGGAAGGAGTGAAGGTTTATGTTATCTTGTAGATCAGTCCGAAAAAATGAATGAGACGGGTATTCACCTCTTGAGCCATGTTTCTGTGCAGGGGAGATGGAGAACAAAGTGCTAGATACTGAGACAGGAATTGATTGCTATCCTCTCTAACATGCAATAAAAATCAATCTTATTTATTTATTGATTTATTTTGGATTATGTGGCATGTTTGCTAAGAAAAACTGAAATCTGTCAAATCTGTGAAAGTAATTAATTCTAGAATGTTGATTAAATCCTGTTTCCTGCAGTGATACACAGGCATTTCTGGAAAGATTTATCATTAATACAATTTTTATTGAGTCTGCAGCCAGGGATTGGTAACTAGCACGTTATAAAGTCTTCAGAACTTTATAGCCCTGTGCTATCACATTGTACTGTGGTAAAATAAAATCTGAGTAAAAGCTTTTGAGATGGATGTCTCTAAAATAATGCTGGCAAAATGCTCAAGAAGGAAATAATGGATATTACAATATTCATGTGAATAATTTTAATTTTTTCATTTACTTTCAATTTTGGTGGCACACTAGTGGAGAGGTTAGCATTGATGCTTTACCGAGGCCCTGTGTTCGATTTATGGGGTGCTGTCTGTGTAGAGTTTGTATGTTCCCGGGTTCATGTGGGTTTTCTCCAGGTTCCCATTTCCTCCAAGAGGAAGACGGGTTAATTGGATTCTGGGAAAACTGGCCCCGCTGTGCAAGTGTTTGTGCCCGTGTGTGTTCTGCTGTATATGATGGACTGGCATCCTGTCCAGGGTGAACCCTGCCTTGTGCCTGTTGCTTGCAGGGATAGGCTCTGGCTCCCCCACAACCCGGAACTGGACAAAGCACATTTAGAAAACGGATGGACGCACTTTCCGATTCTGCCAGCATTTTAAATTCTATGCAATTTTGAGTAGCGAAAAGTGAATGAGAAACTGAAAGAAAAAAAACGATAAAAAGTGAACTCTGTTGGTCGTGGCCCCCTGCTGTGTTTTTTAGAGCACGAAACAGCGCAAAGTGGCCTTTGTGGTACAAAAGAGACGGTTTGCCACAGGCAGACCAGCTGGCCTGGGTCTGAGTCAGGGGTACTTACCGAACTGAACCTCTTCACCAGCTCTTCGGTTACGGGGTACCGCAGTTTAATTTTGCGGTATAGAGGCTTGGTCCTGAAATAATTCACCAGCTCCACCAGGCTCTCAAACTCGGTCGAGGTGCCCAGGACAAACATGGAACCCTCTCTCTGAATCCGACAGTGTTTCACCTTGCCATCCCCCCTGGAATCACAGCATTCCATTAGCACATGCACAGCAAGGCCTGCAGCTTCCACAGCATGCTTCCCCTCTTCCGACATCCGCTGAGACTGTGTTTCATGTCCATGTTGCAAGTTTAACAAAGTTTGTCTCATGTTTGCTCCAGCAGACTCTCTGCCCCCCATTGTAAGAAAGTGGCTGTAAAAATGGACAGGCGCAAGGCTAGCTGGTGACGTAAGAATGTAAAAAAAAAACAGAAACAACGTCTTTCACTTAAAAAAGTCAAGTTCAGAAAATTTAGAGGTTTGGAGTTTAAAAAGTCAACCTTGCACAAGATTTTGCAGCTCGCCTTTGTAAGTCTGATTAACTTCAATCCAGATTGAAGTGTTTTTTAGTTATTTCACATTTACAGATTTGGAAAATTATTCTTACGTTAAATCTGCACAAAAACTTAACTGTAATGTGTGTTTGTAAAAGGAGACGGTGTTCACTTTGAAATGCGAAAACTGTCTAATTGTCTAATTTATGTAGTGCTAAAAAAGAAATTATTTGTTCATTCAGCAAAACGTATCCCACTTTTCTTTCTGAGACTCTCCTGGAGTTTTCAGGTTAGTTTCATGGAGTAACCAGGTCCTTCAGACATAAAATGTCAGTTAAATCTGATTTTGAGACCTTGAATACTACACTGACTCCTGGAGAAGGGAGGCAGGTGGAGGTAAGATGACCATGTGCCTCAGGTGGCTAAAACTGTAGCATTTAGTCAAGGTTTCACCTGCAGGACTAATGAAAGAGGTGAGAGGGAAAAACTGAAGGAATGAGTGATCATGTGAGTTCTTAGTTAAAAAGTAATAGCATACAGTAACTCATATGTAGGTTGTCCAGTTGAAGCAACAGCTACTAAGGTCTAAGGTCTTCTGACCCAGCCAGTTCATCAATGAAGAAAAAGAGAGGAGCGTTATTTCTACAAATGAAGTATTAACATCTAAAAAAGAAATATATCTAAAGTAAAGGGTAAAGGGTAAAAGCAGCTGGTGTGGTGAATTTAATCAGAATCTTCTTGCATTTGGCCTTTTCCAATTTATACAGTTTATGTAGCACTTGTCAGTAGATTATTTTAAATGAATGATAGCACAGTAATATGGAAAGTACCATATTTTTCTTGCTTCGTGTGTGTGTGTGTAAATATAGCCAGGCATTTCCTCTGGTAAATCATGGGATTATAATCGTCTACTTTTAATCTGCAGAACCATGACAGACAGCAAATGAGAAATCTGCCCTCACCGAGAATAAGGTAAATCATCTCATCTGCGTCACAAGAGAAGGGGGATTTCACCTGAAAGTGATGGCAAACGAGTCCGGCTCCTCTCTCTTGCGGATTAGGAACGCTCCATCACGGGGGATCCTCATCAGCATGTCCTCGGCTTCCCCCCGGCTCAGGTTGTTGTAGTACCACCTAGCGGAGAATTAACAGACAATCAGGAGCACGTTTCATCATCCCTCTCGCGTTTGTGAGATAACAGGAGCTGCACAAAGCAATTTAACACACAGAAGTAAATGTCGTAATTAAGAGAAACGTAAAGCCTACTCCCGTCTTTCGGATGAGACGTTAAACCGAGGTCCTGACTCTCAGTGGTCATTAAAAATCCCCAGGCATTTCTCAATAGGAGTAGGGAGTTATTCAATTCAATTCAACTTTATTGTCATTAAACTTACACAGTAAGTTTTACTATGCACTTACACAGGTGCATAGTATAATGAAAAGTGTTTCTCATTAGTCACTCAGGTGCAGTATATAAATAGGACAGAAGATAAGACAATAGACAGTAACACAATAGCAATAACAGTAACATGTAATAACATAATATAAATAACATGTAATCAAGTAATCAAAACTGTGCAAAATTCCGCAAACAGAGAAAATTTAACAGGACAAAAACAGTGCAAGGTAATTCTTGGAACAGTGCAAAAAAATATATAGTAAAATAGTTATCTCAATGTCCTAGCCTAATTTCTCCCCTCGGCCTTCACCATGGCCTCCAAATTGTCCCTATGCATAACTGGCCTGCACTGGCCCTGCGATGGACTAGCGCCCTGCCCAGGGTGTACCCTACCTTGCGCTCGTTGCGTGCCAGGCAGGCTCCAGCTTCCTGCGCCACGGATTAAGCGGTTTGGTAAATGACATGACATTATTCCTACTCAATACCTAAGGTGTAAAATCAACCAGGACCAGAGTGCCTTGGCATAAAACACCTGAAATTAAATTCCCCCCTCTATCTGCCCCTCAATTAAAAAATGAATGTTTTCAAACTAACAACAATGCTTTCCTTTTGTACAACCTGAACAGAAAATGTGGCGCTAATTTCCCTGTAACAACACTACACCCTATTGATTCAGTGCATTAAGATAACTTGAGTACTTCATTATTGAATCAGTTTTCGTAATTTTATTATTATGTATTTTTTTATAGTAGCCATTCCTAATTATTGAATAGAGTCTGTAGTGCTAATACACTAATTGCTTATTTGAATATTCTTAGCAGAACATTAATTCAAAGTTATATTTCTAAGCATTTCTGGGGATCTTAAAATAATCCTCAAATCCAGTCAATAGCTGAAGTATTCCACAAGCAAAAAGAACTTTAACAAAAGTTATTTGTATATATTTTAAACAATATACTGTAGTTATTTCATCAACTTTCAAAGGAAATGCAACAAATTTACTTTGCCTTTGTCTTAAGTTTGAATTAGTCAACAGTGCAACATAGTTTTGTATACTGCACTTAAAAAGCTGTTTTAAGGTAGCCACAAGTGTTTTATAACACACTGTATACAGTTAACTAGAATTCAGAACATGCTTATAGCGTACATAGTTTAAGACTACCTGTATCTGGAACACTGCTAGCATCTCCAGTAAACCAAGTGAGCGTCATGTCATGACCTCTTTAATCAGACTTGCAATTATCACACAACACACTCTAATGGAGGTGCTGAAGATTTCTCAACAGTGAAAACCTCCAACTCGCTGGAGAGCTTTTCTGAAGAGCTCTGCACTTTGTACCAAACATCTAAATTTTTGCAAAATGCCGGTGCAAATGTGACCAGCTACTAAATATATAAAAAATCCCATTGCACTGTGAAGTTTTATTGAAGTGCTTAATGTTTTTGAGCACTTAATTCAAACAGCTAAAGCAAAATGCTCCAAATATAGCCCATAAAAGCTGTTCTGAAACTGAAAAACAGAGCCAAATGGGGTGACAATACTGTTATTCAAAGAAACAATATTAATTTTCCATCAATGGAATTACTTTAGTTTTTTTAGCAACATGAATTAGCTTCACCTGTACAGTTCCTGGAAATGTGTTATTTATTCAGTTAGCAGGAAAAAAGATGATATATTCAAGCAAGTACACAAATGAAGGAGACCCTGACACAAATCATGCGAGACAATTAGGAAATACTGAAAATATGCAGAATGGCTCAAAGACATCTTTGCCTCACCTTCACTCTAGCCACCAACACAAATATAAATATGTTTTTGTTTCTATTTTATTAATGAATACAACTTACAGATCATATAAAAAGTGTGAATCCTTACACCACAATATTGTAATCTAGAAATCGGTGCTCGCTCTTTAATTTGATCTTTGCCATACATACAGAATATGTGCAAATTACCAGCTTCTTTAAAACACTGTTGGCTTTCAAAACTTTTTCCAGTAACTTACACAACCCTCCAATTTGAGTTCTATAATCTACCTACAGTGCTATACCATGGTAAAAGAACAGTATATTTCAGTAAAGCAGTCTCAAAGATGAACTGTGATCTAAAATACAGACCATGGAAAACTGTCCACTTTGTGACAGGCTACAGTACACAAAGCACATAGTACACACACATAGCACACTTTCTTGCAGTCAAGTTTATTAATGCCGTGTTATTAAGCAGAAACATCTGTCTGCTAATTCACATATTCACCACTGCCTGGTAACATAGACCACTGCTTTCTAATCAGCAGTACAAGAAATGTGCACAATTCAAAAATCAAAATTTCAATTAGAAATATTGAGTGCTAATTAACAAGCCTTTCTGCAAATAAAGAAATTAAGTGTCCACAGGAAGGTGTCTGTAAGAATTTGCAAGCACGTTCTATGTTATGTAGTTTAGGTATTTTTTTCCTATAAAGTAGTGGGGTCAGGTGGTACAGTAGTAATTGAGTAATTAATTAAACTTCAACCCTTCTAGTTTTCATTCCAGCATTGTTTCAATTAATTTATTTTACTATTTGACAAAGAGGACAAAAATACAAAAAATGTTCAGATCGCTGACTAAAACTGACAATTTTAACAACATGATTGAAATGTACAGTATGGACTCAGGTAATGATTCAGGATCTTGGTTGAAATATTAAATTTATTTACAGTTATTTTCAGGCGATCACACCAGTCCTTTAAGGGTCACAATGTCATTTAAATAACACCTTCTTCTGGAGCGATTAGCCTGCTTTCAAATGCTAGCATGCCAAAAAACAGGTGATACAGACACACAATATATTCATGTTGACTTCTGCATTTACAAGTAAAACACAATAAGACAGTCCTTAAAATGCAAAATTCCTGTGACTTTGATTGATCTTAGTTTGCAGTATTATCTTAAATTACACATTGTTACTAATGATATTAGCTACACACGTACATTTTTTTAAATAAAATATTCATAGTTTTGAAAGCATTCTTTGGCATGGCAATCATTATTCTGATTTGTTAAGCCTTCTATTCTACAGTGTAGGTGCAAATCAGTCTGATAATACACTTCAACAGCAGAATGCCTCCAGGTCTTATAATATAGCACTGACCTGAATCTTCACGAACAATTTAGCTCACTGACAGATTATATGAAATAAAACTTCTTTAAAAATTTGAGTTTAAAAATGCATCTCCTTAAGGCTAATTAAAAAACAGTAGTAATGAAAACCATATGTATTTGCAATTGCAGCAATATATTTTATTTTAACTAAAAATAAAAGTATAACTCTTTAAAATTAAAATTAAAAACACAATTTGTAATTTTTTAAACACTATGCCAGTTTTGTGTTGTCGGGGGAGTAAACTGCATTAACCAGTTGGAGTTATTCATCATTTCAGGTGAACATGAGATGAGGTGAGCAGAGACATCTAGGTTACCTCCAAGCAAACACTGAATTTCGGCAAGTGGTTTTCAGCTTAAACCTCGCTTTAATTTTGTGTTAACCAGAGAACTATCCCACAATGACCATGGTCTCATTTGCAAAAGTCGTCCTCATGCAATAATATGCGTGTTCTTGTACACGCAGAGGCAGCAGAAATTATTTTTGCTCTGACCCACATGACTGAGAGATGAGGCATACAGGAACTGCGTGGGGCAGGCAGAGCGATATAAACCTTTCAGACCTGAGGGAATGAACATCACTTCCTGGTTTCAAGGACCCAATACATAATCTTCTGGAGACTCCACTCAAAGCGCTATACAGGTAATGGGGACTCTCCTCCACCACCAGTGTGCAGCCCCACGTGGATGATGTAACAGCAGCCATAGTGCACCAGTACACTCCCCACACACCAGCTCTCAGTGGGGAGGAGAGAAGAGTGATGAAGCCAATTCATAGACAGATTATTAGGAGTCCAGGGGGAAATTTGGCCAGGACGCTGGGGTAACACTCCTACTCTTCTTGAGATCACCCTGGGATTTTTAATAACCACAGAGAGTCAGGACTTCGGTTTACATTCGGTTTTGCGCCTTTTTACAGTGTAGTGTCCCCGTCACTATACTGGGGCATTATGACCCACACAGACCACAGGGTGAGCGCTACCTACTGGCCCCACTACCACCTCTTCCAGCAGCAACCTTAGTTTTTCCCAGGAGGTCTCCCATCCAAGTACTGACCAGGCTCACACCTTCTATGCTTAATAAGATTCAGCCCCAATAAATAAGGGGCTTTAGGGAATGTCCTACACCGTCAGACTGAAAGAACCAAACATTTTTAGGCATCGAATAGTCGACTCTTCGGATTTCTTCAGAGTAAACACGAGCCAGAGGGGATAAGCAGAAACTGCATGGAAGCACATTTACATTTAGGAGACACATCATTATCCAAAGGGTTGTGAGAGTATGAAACAAGCTACCCAGCCATGTTACTGTGTTTTTTCCCCCCAAGACATGGCTGGATGAGATCCTGGGATCTATTAACTACAAAACAGACTAGATGGGCAACGTGGCCATCTTCCCGTTTGTAACCTTTCTTATGCTCTTAGTTCGTCCACATGCACTTGAAAACGGCAGCGCTGCACTCACTCTTTGCACTCGTGGGGGTTGGGTCTGGGCACAGCATCAGTGAGCCGCAGGTCAAACTCCAGGCAGCGCAGCGGGTTCTCCTTGTAGTGGAGAATGAGGCTGTAGACACTGTCGAAGTGCAGGTTCTCCGTCAGGAAGTAGAAAGTGTTGCCGTTCTCCGTCCCTGAGCGAATCCGACAGTGCTGAACTCTTCCGCCCCTCCTGGAGGACGACAGATCGACCACAGATCGGAACTCACCCACGACACAAAAAAACCAACAAATAAATAAAATAGAGACTTTAACCGAATATAGAACCATAAACATTTGCACAGTAATGCATAATATCTTATGCATTAACAGCCGACTAAAACACGTCTTTGCTGCACCGAGCCAATGGAGGAGGTCACACAATACCAAAATGACAACGTGAAGTCCTTGAGAAAGGTGTCGCTCTCCCGCACCAGGAACGTCCCATCTCTGCCCCCGGATTCTGCACAGAACTCCTGCAGGAGCCTCTCTGCCGTCTGCCGGCCTTCTCTCATCTTACCGTGGAACCACTTCTCCGTGAAGTGCAGCTCCGACTTCTTCACATTCTGGAAAGACACGGCAGGGCGTATCTGAGGCCGCGCAGGTTCGTTTAGAATCGTTCACGGAATCAAACGTTCGAATGATTGAATCGATCATCCGGACGCTGTGGAGGTGAATTACTCTGAGCCTGCGTGGTTTCATTCGGAATCATGCAAGGAATCAATCATTCTGAATCAGTCGTTCTAATGTTTCAATGACCAGAAAATTAGGAGCTCCCCCACGTTCAAATCCCTGAATAATACCTTGAATCTCTGCAAATAATAAGACTAGGTTGAAGAGGATGTGGCCTTTGTTTCACCAGGGTTTGAACTTTGGCAGCCCAGTCATGTCTCGTTTTTTCAGTAGGATTTCTTTGACCATAATGATGGTCATCGAAGTGCAGGTTTTTAACAGGACACCAGTGTGATCTGGCCAGGGTAGGTGATAAAAGCCGATGTCATTTCCACAGTTCAAACACAAATTGTTTGAACTCTCAACAGCCTGAACAGCCTATCGTTGACAGAGTCTGTTCATTTACCATGCCTTCTACATATTTGGGTCAGCTATTGTATGAACTCGTGGGAAGGCAAAGCCAGACATATTTAGGAGAAATAAATTCAGGAGAATTTTCAAAAACACTGATGGGATCATTTTGACCAGGAGCAAAAAAAGGAAAGAACCATGTGGTTGAAGTTCAGGTGTTGTCCAGTAAATGTTTAAATAATTTGAGAAAAGTGAAACCAAGAAGAAAAAATCACCTTTTTAGCATCCTCTTCTTCTTCATACTCTTCTGCATAGTACAGCTTGTCACCAGCAATCCTACAGTAGTGTCGGTTCCATTGCTAAAAGACAGAACGATCATTGAGATATCCCCAAGAGAGAATTGGCAAACAGCTCTTCGCCAGGCTTCAAGGTTTGAAAATGCACTGTGGCAACTGAACACCAGATTCTCCCTTTAATGAAACCTGTTGGCGTTTCAGAAACAAACCAACCAGTCAGGACTGTTTTCTCTGTGGGAGTGCTATAGTTACAAGGTACTGTCTAATACAGGATGCCTGATGGCATTTATTCCAAAAAAATGAATGCCATCAGGAAAATGGGATCATTAAAATTCAAAGCTGAAATACCTCTGCATTACATTTTTTTTTGCTTTATTGTTAATTGTGGAAACTGTATTAAAGTCAGTAAAACGAGGGAAAAAGAGATTTGACTGGAGAGATTAAATAGGTTACAGAACATGTAAAGCATATATTCAATATAGAGGGTATGTACAGTATAAGATGTAGCTTTCAAATGAGCAAAAATATTTTTCTTGCTGTCATCTGCAAGACATTTTATAATCTCCCTGTATATCACTGGAAAACATTATTAATGCACAGAGCTGGGTCATTGATGTCATGGTTTTTACTGAGAAGTGGGTAACTGCATTACAAGTGTTGGGCACTGTATTTTGTTCATGTACTGCAAATATGTTGTGCTACACAAATGCTCAATGTGCTCAGTGTTGTGCAACTGCACCTCATCTACTGGGTCCCAGATGAGCAGATCTCCCTGCTTCTCTCCTTTACGAAGATCTCCTCGACCTGTCCCATCATCTGGTCTCCCCAAATCATCAATTGAGCTTAGCTTCTTATGCTACAAACAGAAGAAGGAATAAGCAAGGCGAAATCTCCGAACCACAGCATGGTTACAGGATCAACAACAGGGAGCAGGGCCACAAAATGTCCTTGACCTTTCCCATGTCCTGCATGCTGTTGCATTACCTTGATAATGATTCTGCCCTTCAGCTGCGTGGGCGAGGGCAGCTGGTCTGCAATCTGTTCGACTGGCTCTGTCAGTAACTTCTCCTGAAAAACCTCCTGGAATATTCTGGCCATCTGACGCTGCTGTTCAATACAGCAGTGCTCTTCGATGGACAAAATGAGAGGGTACCTAGACAGTACGGACAGATCAAGATTATCCCACAATGTGACAAAAAAAAATGATCTTATTGAAAATGGTGCTTTTTTTTCTTCAGAATAATGCTATATACTGTAATTAGCAGTTTTGATTTGAAAGAGGAAAGTGTAGAGCACAGATGCGAACTTTACAAATTTGATGAATTTCATGAGAGCACAGATTATAGGAAATGTAAATATAGTGATACTAGTGTGTTTTAAACTTTAAAAATCGAAGCTGAAATCTATTTCATCTATCAATCTATTTACTTAATCCTTTTTAAAGCCTCAGCAGACACAAGAAAAAAAAAACAAACCATTTCGAGTTACTCCGTACCTGAACTAGAGAACAAAGGAAGATAAAAAACTGGACATTTTAGAAATCTTAGAACTTGAAACTTTTCCCTACACATTCTACTTGGCGTATCCCAAATACCAAGATCCGAAATAGACATACAAAGACATATCCTACTATCAAAATCATTCTAATTACTCTCCTAAATGTATGACACCCAAGAGCCCCATCGCCAAGAAGCCTGAACACTTACTCTGAGGCAACAAAAGCGTGCTCGTTGATCGCCCTCACAACATCTTCAAATTTGATCTTTGTGGTCCTCGTCCAGCCGTGGTAAATGATGGGCTCCCCCGGGCCATCCCAGCAGTCCACTGTACAGCAAGGGAAATGGCGAGATGTTCATTTTGTGGATGCCCAAGACATCGCCTGAAACTAAAGTTTTGTTTTTATCAAGCATTCATTCAAATGAAAAAAACACCATTTCTATCATGCAACAGATATCCAGTGGGAATGTTTCATTTATCCCATAGGACAATGTGTAAATCCGAAAGCATAAGAGCTCCAAAACACAATAAAGGTTCCAAATTAACATGTGCATCTGGCTGGTTTTAACGATCCTCAAAACCCATCCGCCAATTAATGACTTGACTTTTAAGGTATCGACTTCAGCAACATGGGCAGGTCTGTTTCAGACACGCATTGCTCTTTGTTAACCACTGCCATTGTTTTACATCTTATTTCTGCAACAGAAAATAAAAATATGTGTTCTGGAAGTACACAATATTGAAAGTAAATTAACAAGCTGCTGTAGCTGGATCACTGAAACTTGTATACGTGTAACTAAAAATGAAACGTAACCTTCAAGACCAATCTTTCTTCAGTGGTAAAGTTTTGGTCTTCCACTGAAAGTCAAGAGTTGTTTTTTTCTAGAAAGTGAACAGAAAGTTGTGGAGTGCAGAACAGACCAGTAAAAGTGCACTAACCAAAGCTGTGCAGTTTTTTTCCTCTGTGGACTTTTGCCTGTTACCCATGGTGCATTTATTAGGTTTTCACTCCTCAACTCTGGTTCTAAAGGGCTTCCAGTATTTCATACAGGCCTTCATTGCACTTTGCTACTCTGACTTACCACAACAGGCATTTCTAAGCATTGTTTTTCTTTCTTACACCATGATGTAGCCATGTTTGATGTAATAAAATAGTGGACACATGGTAAGACCACAGGAACCCACTGCAAATAGGAAAAGTGCTATACAGAAGTAAATGTAAAAGCACCACAACAGACATTTATAGGGATTCACTGGTCACTACAGTCACTGCTTAAAGACACAACTGACTTTAACTAGCAATTCTTTTTGTAGATCTTGACATCCTTTGAACACTGATCATTGAACATTTTTTTACACTTTATTATCTGGTTATAGAACTCAATTTTTATCACAACTTCAAATTTCTGCTATACTGTATTAAAAAAATGGTGGGTTTAGCACACACAGTGCTTTATACATAGTATACAGTGCTTTACGATAGTTGCTTAAACTGGTATTATGTAAAATAAAATGCATTATAATTATAAGGTTTTAATAAAAGGAAACTGACGCTCAATACATCGACATCCCATCCTCAGACACCTGACATACGCTTCTGTAGAAGATTCGCTCCGAAGCTGATCGCCTGTGAGGTACCTGAAGAGACAACAAGCAGATATTAATGACATCACATTTGCTTCACAAAAAACACTAATACAGTGTTAATGAAACTGATAATAAAAACAAAAGCTTAAAGACACAAGGCACTATAAAAAATATTCTCTGGAACACTCGCTCATAAAGGAATCATCAACTATCATGAATAATCCAGAAAAATGTCTTAAACACTATCAATAGAAAAATCTTTTTACACTACATAGCCTTGTGGTCAAAGCCAATACCATGTCCTGAGAGGAGAGGCATAAAGGAGAGAGAGGAAAGAGGACAGATGGAGAGCATGTAACACAACAGCTCACTGGAGAAATGTACATAGCCATGCTGCTGTAAAATACGATGCAATTCATTTCCTATAGCGAAGTATTAGCTAAAAAATATCTAACATGCATTTCCTTTTTCATAGGAGAGTGTACTTCAGTCAGTATTGGATCCTCTTCCTTTCTCTTTGCTTTCACTTACGTAAAGCTGTGTAGATAGTGTTGCAGTACTATTTGTGTCACACACACTTAACACTTAGCTTTTTCAGACATATGTGGGTGTTGGCTTCAGGACCTCACGCCTCATGTCATTTTAGAAATAGGACACAGCCGCAAACCCTCAGCTGTGAGGAACAGACTGAAAATCAGACCATCAGATCATTGGTAGATTTGAACTGTATTTAAAGCTTCACTAGATTATTGGAAGGCACGGACATGGAAAAGGGGTCTTCAAAGAAAAAATACACCAAAATACACAGACTTCCCTGGCCAGAAGCAAAAACTGAAACTGTAAACCCCAACATAAAATCTTTAAAAGCTCGAGCACAGGCTAAATACACTGCAGAAAACGCCAGTCACAGCTACTGTAAAGACGGGAAATGGAAGAAACAAATCCCTTACGTGTTGTGAGATGAGTTGATCCAATAGTGAGACAGCGGATTATTCATGTCCTGGGGACAGACTTCCGAAAACTTCTCATCCCAAATAGAGTTTTCCTTGGAGAACAGGTAATTCATGAACTGTAATGCAAGATGCAGAAAAAAAATAGTTACAAAATTGTTGCATTACTTTCAGAGAATCTGGAAAAACCTAGAACTTGCATTTCCAGCCATGCTACATTATACCTTAGCTACACATCAGGGCGACAAATCAGGCCATACAAGCTCATTTCTGGAGGTCTAACAAAAAAATTGGTACTGCCTCATGTTCAGTTGTGAGCTTTATGATGCCGGTGACAATGTTTAGATGACCTAATTCTACATTGATTCTAATTCTACATTGCCTTTCAGAAAATTCCATTATGTATGAACGACAAATGTATTTGGAAGAAAGGTTTTCTTTAGAAGGTAGCAGTACCTCGCTAACTTTGAATTCGGGATCATTGGTCTTCCTCATGGTGTCATCAATAAAGGTGGTCATGAGCTCCCGAACCATGTTTAGGTCAGTGGCCCAATTCTCCTGTGGTACAAGAAAAGTACAGCATGAAAGTTTGGAATGAATGAATTATCAAAAATCATCAGCCTAGGTTACAGCCAGCGAAGGCAAACCAGTTGTGTCCTGAGAAGCAAAGCCTGTTCAACACATTAACCCTACTGTCAAGGCACATCAGTATTATCAGTTATCAGTATTATTACAAAAACAGAAAGAAGATCCTCTTGGTGGTGACTGTTAATACAAAAGATCATATTTCAGGGAACTATGCATTGTTGCACAAAAGATAAAACAGAACAATGCTTTTACCTTCTGCTGGTAGAGGAGGAACCTCTGGAAATCATACAGAAGAACTGCTGAAGCATCTGGCTTGTCAGTGTTACTAAGCAACATCATTGACAGAGACAACAAACAAATCATTATTATTATCTTCATCATGTCAGGCAAATACGTTTCCGTCAAGACAACTTGTATTTGCATTCATTTACTGCTAAGCTAAGCATGCTAAGCATCATCACTGACCCAATCTGAGTGAAGTACCCTGCTCAAAGGTACAACAGCTGTGCCCCATATGGGACCTGAGCCCAGGGCCTTCTAGTCCAGAACCCTAACTACTCCTCCACACTGCTGCCTACGAATGGCAAAAAGACACATTGCTGGATCTGATTGTTCTTGGCCCATTCACTGCACAATTACAAAATTATAGTGGTAAGGGTGACATCAAAGCAAAGTGCTGATGTTATATGCTGTATAAATTATCCACCTTTATTATCCTGATCACTGTATTTCAGAAGACCACAGAATTTCATGTGACCAGTGCTACATTAAAAAAGTACAATGACTAAAGTAAGAAGAATGTGAAACATGTTAAACAACTAGTTGAATTAATCTCAGTTATAAACTTGCTGGACTGTAGTGCTGAACCACAAATGCCACATTACTATCTTATACAATTTGAAGTACAGTGTATGTTTCAGTGAGAGGGTACAGGAGATCTGCAGCACTGTGGTTCAGTTTCTACACCACTACCAGGGGTCATGTCAAGTTGGAGAGCACCGATGGTGCAGAAGAAAAAGGAATTGCATTTTCTACACTTTTCCAGGCTTAAGAAAAAGTTATCTTTTTTAATTTCTATTTGATAGGGGACCAAAAGAATGTATTGAAAGTGAAAATAAACCTCACCCCATGATAAAAGAGCAAGACTCCTTCTTAAACTCCTCAAGAACCTGAAGGTGAACAGAGAAACAGTATCATCAAGAAGGCAGCACCACTAGTTCACAGCTACCAAGTAGAAAACATGGTACACAGCCCAAGCAAGCTTTCAATATGACAGAGCTGCCATTTGAAACACAGTATAGAGGGCAGGTATTATTAAAGCTAAGCACTATAATATAATTTTCTAAACACATTGAACATTTGTTATGTGGCCAATTGCAGATGGTTTTTTTAAGTAATTCCCAGAGCTCCCTTAATTGTTTAACTGGTCAATAACAGGTGATTTAGGGTGACTTCTTCGACTTTTTGGATTTGAGGTCTTCAGACACAGGGTTGAACACCACTAGCATAGAGGACAATTACAGCAACCAAATTAAATCTTCTGCACCAGGCCCTGCACGGTCCATAAGATCACATTTTCACATAGAGAGGCGTGTGGGTTTGGTGCTTCATCACAATTTAATTTGCTCATTATTTCAATGCGGCAGTCTGCTGCACTGACAAGCTTCTTCCCAGGAATGGAAATGCACAGTAAAACAAGACACAGTAAAACATTACTGTATATTAGTGTTGCACTTCTCTGGGAGCCAGAATGGTACTAGTGCACATTCAGCAGAAGAACAGCGAAAGATCAGGACTACATTTTGAACACGTCAGAGGAGGAGAGTGAACATGCTGTGGAACCCCTGGGGAGCAGGCAGCTGATCTCTCACAGTGAGCCGAGACCAAGAGGAAATAAAAAAAAATAGAGCAGCTTACGCATTTCTGATTGTCAAACATCAGGTTGTTGTAGAACTTATGAAATTGCTCAAAATCTAGGACATCTTTGCGGGTACACAATTCCTATTCAAAAAATGAGATCTCAGATATTTGAACAAAAAAATAGAGAGAATTTGATAAAATGTAAGAAACATTTTATATACTTTAGTAACACCAATAGTTTTACTGAAATTTCTATATGCTATTAAACATACTATTATAGCCATTTCTACTTAGACTGTGCCAGAAAATATATACATCAAAGATCAGTGTTATTAATTTAAGTAAAATTAATTAAATTTAAATGTAATTAATGTTCTTGCACTCTACTATTGTGTGTTATTGACAATTCTATTTAAATAGCCCCTATTTAATAGAAAAATAGAATAGAATTATAATGACATTTTAACGCACACTTCTTTTTTAGAAATCTGACCACCAAATGTAAAGCTGTAACTACTGTAGACTCTTTGAAATGTTTAGGGATGTTTTACATCTTACATTTTGAATAAAAGGTCAAAAAACATTAGGAGTTCTTACATGTTTTTTGTTTGCAAATTAAGATTAAATTTATTTAGACTTTACTCCAAAAAGTGGAGATGGTTGCAGTGTTAAGCATTGCTCAGTAAATAAAGGTAACAATGATGGATAACTACCGAAAACCTGTCCTTAAGGAACTTAGCATTGGGCACTTTGAAATTCAGCTGTGGCAGCAAGGACTTCATTTCTTTCATAGTGATCCTGTGAAAAACACGGATGTGAAAATGAGGTCAGAGTATCTCAACTAGGCTCTTTAAAGTCCTTTCACACCATGATGAGACCATTGTTCCTTTGGCTAGCAATACAAGGTGACACATACCCATCCAGAAAATGTTATAAAGCGCAGAAGGTTCAAAAGAAACTTAAAAAAAGTCCATTTATATGCACATTTATTTAAATGTCACACAGCTAGTACAGGTGGCTACACATTAGATTAAAAGACCATTAATTGTCTTTGCTGTGCTTAACTGTTTTACATCAGGAAGGTGTGAGGGTCTTCTAACCAAATTACAAAATAAAGCTGGTAGAAAAGGACATCCAGTTGAAATGACTTACTTGTTCTTTTTCGATTGATCAATTGAATACATCTGCTTCCTCAACCAGCTGTAGGGACAAAATCAAAACCAGCTGTGAATAAAACTGTACATTTGTACAATCATTCACATCAGCAGAGCCACTACCTGAAAGACTAGAAACGAGCAGCAGTTATTTTTGATAGACAACTGTAGATCAATGAAGATATTTTAGATGTACAGTATGTCAGAATGGCACACTGGACAGGACAGAGGTATGGTGCAAAGAAACATTCAGCTTCTGTACTCTAGATGACTTAGGTTTTTAATGCTTTTCATTAAATTTGGAACAGATACAACTGATAAGAAATTTGTTCCACTGTTCCACACTCCTATCTTTTATAAGGGTTACATTATGCAAATCTCTACATAGACCCAAATTTACATAAGACAAAATGGATTCTTATATAGTAACTGTACGTTACTACAGTATTCATCATTATTACGGTAGTGTGATAATCCAAACTTACACTGTTACAATATCATCACAGTCTATTGTACAGTACTTATAATAAAGTACAATAATAAAACTACTCTTGCAGTTGCAGGGCATTTGCATTGTTCTTCTTTACAGTACAAGCTGCTTTGGGTAACATTGCAAACACACTGTGTAAATGATTTCACACAACACGCAGGTAAGAGAAGAGATGCACACCGGGCAATGTGGAAAGAGACTGAAAATGAAAAGACAATACCTTTCTACAATGTCTGGGGTAGGAGCGGCCACAGTCTCCTCTCTTAGCAGTTCCACACCAATTAGCCACTTTTCTGCTTCTTTATGATTATCCGCTGCAGGGAGACACAAAACAAAGCCTGTGAAGAGTAGTTAGAAAACTGTGGAAAAAGGCCAGTTTTATCCACACTGATGAAGTGAAACAAGTCCTGCTGTTAGAATCTCACTGTCTACTTCATGAAGCCAAAAGCCAAACTCCTTTGCAGCCTTCTTTTTCACCAAGCTTCTCGTGAGATTACAACAGCCTGACACATACCGCTGAGGCTCAGGGTGTTGAGGACAAATTGGGATCCGTAGAAAATGGTGAAGCAGGTGGTCTCATCAAGGCATCTTTCTTTAAACCGTTCAAAGTCCTTAAAGTTCTTTCCAGGACGTATTTCTCTGATCTCATGTAAATCCACTGAAACAAAAAGAAACAAGGAACAAGTGTGAATTAGATAGGGAAAGCACTAGAATTACATTATTTTCTATCAGAGGTTTCAGTATAAACATATAAAGGGATAGCACACTTCAGACTTAATCCGTCACTGTTGTCACGACCCCCTTCCTTCACTTAAGAGGAATGAACTAGGGAGGCAATTGCAAGTGTGAAGTTGGAGTGGCAGGAGGGAAGCTAGATGCTGTGCATGAATGATAAATTGTTTTGATGTTGTGCTAAATGATGTGCACAGAATTGTGGGCAACAGAGAGAGCAAAGTGTTAGATTAAAATTTCTTGTCCCAGACATCTGTGAAATAACATCATTTAGTATTTTAAAATAAGACTTTACACAAGTCCCTTTACACAAATCTATATGTTCTTAACAGGGCACAGAGGGAGAGTGGCACTCTCCGTTTGTGGTTTGGATAAGAACCTTTGTAACAACCTTGTCCTTCAGAGGTGTGAGGGAACTAGAGTACCTGTTGAAAACTCATTCAGCTACACAAGTTTTTGCCAACTTATATGAACAGCTGATAATAAAAACAAATAGGACTATGGAGCTAAGAGCCTGCAGTGCTAATCATCTGATCACTGTATTGTTCCTTTTCAGTCATTTTTCATTTCAGCACATGCAACGCTGATCAAACAGGTACTGCATTTCTTTGGAGACTACAGCAGGGTTCAATATCTGCAAACGTAGTATTCACTTATTGGCAAAGGGCTCTGGCCGATGGGGTCTTGGATGAAAGAAAAGTAAAGCCGGATGAAACAGGGTTGAAGGCTGTTAACTGTAACTTTCAAACTAAGGACACAACAGACTAGGATAGTGAGACGAACCTACAGTAGCTAGTGAGTGAGCCTCTTCTTTTTGTTGGGTTGCTTGTTTTAGTTGAGTACTTCAAATATTATATAAAGGACTTTTACTTATGTCTTCTATCCATACATACTGTATATATACTGTAGTACATTATGGGAAGATACAGGAGCAGACTTGGTTATATGCAAATGTAGTTATTAGCGAAGGTTCTCTGCACCAAAACTTTCCAAACGTCGAGACCTACTGTATGTTATTTGGCATGAATGCAATACAAATGTCTTCCAAATTTACGTACAAAAATACAGTGATTAACTCCCCATAAGTGTGTGTGCAGTAACGTACTGTAGACTGTAGGTTTTAAGGCACGCAGAAACCACTTAAATAAAGTCCACTGTGACAGTGGACCACACCTTCCACTGCACTCCCCACCCGTGTGGGAATGCGCAGCTATCACACCAGGGGCTAATCAGGGCTGCGCTTTACGATCCCCACGCACCCGCAGACACTGTCAGTTTAGGACCGAATGTGTTCCCCCTCAACGGCAACACAAACAATTACTCCGACCTGAGAAAGGATTCTCTCCTATACCAGAGAACAGAAATCTCCGCAGACGGCTACACACCAGCACACCGCAGAGGATTAAGAAGCGCTCTGCTGGTACTCAGGCAGCTCCCCATCAGATCCGACTCTATCACACATCTATACTCAAAGTGCAACTTTGTTTCACATTTCATTTCAGAAATGAGCTAATACATATACAAGGTACTAACTAATTGTTCCACGAGGAGGGCTACCTCATCTACACTATCTATGTGCCATCTTGCCAGAATAAACCTTAAATTTATGTAGTATTTTTACATCCTAAAGGATCCTAGAAGACTGAACATACAGGAGGGGACCCACTTCATCTGCTATTGTAATGCACCTTCCTCGGTGATCTTGGGTGACAGGCACCCTTACGTGCCAGCAGTCCCACTGCACTGAAATTGAATCTAATCACTGTTAGATCACGTAGGGAAGTGAGAAATTGTTTCTATATCTGAATTAAGGAAGAATGTTTAGGTAGGCCAGACTGTAAGAGCACAGAGGGGAATTTACCCAGGACACCCTTCAACTTCCTGAGACATGGGATCCGTGATGATCTTTGATGACCAAATAGTCAGGACCTCAAGTTTAATGTCTTATCTAAAGGATGAGACCTCCTACTGGAGACTGGAGATTCATAGATGTTTAATTGCAGTATTCTAAAGATGTCCTTCCTATTCCTAATGTTCCTCCTATTTACATCAACTAAAGAAACTAAAGAGATGTTATTATAAAACTTTACAGCCCCATAGTTTTAGAGGACTGAGCATATTATCAAATAATGTTTATTTTCATATTGAATTTCATTTTTGAAACCTTCTTACAATTACAGTTGAAAATTTTCAATTACAATTTCTACATTTTTTAAGCCTTTTTGTTCAGTCTTGAAGGAAATTACAATTTTATGCCATCTTGTCACTGCTGAGAAAAACATAAACCAGAGAAAATGATTAGGTTGATTTCAAGATAGGTTCCACAGCCTCTACTAAATGACAACAAATGTGGTTTCTGATGATGCTTGATAAGAAGGGCATCTCTTATCAAGCATCATCAGAAACCAAGTTTGTTTGTCTCAAGTTTGCAAAAATGAAATCTATGAATTGGCTACATTACTCTGCTCTCCTCCCCACTGATATCTGATGTGTGGTGAGCATTCTGGCGCACTATGGCTGCTGTCGCAGCATCAGGTGGGGCTGCACACTGGTGGTGGTGGAGGGGAGTCCCCATTACCTGTAAAGCGCTTTGAGTGGAGTGTCCAGAAAACCGCTATATAAGTGTAAGCAATTATTATTATTATTATCTCTTTAGACACAGAAGGCACTCCAGTTCAAAATCCAAACGTTTTGAGGCAGCAGCAATAACAGCCATTTATTTGTGCTGCCACCATGCATTTTGTATTTAATTGTTTAGCCACCTTTCCTGTACTATTCTTGTAAAGGCCTTTGAGACAATGCTCACCAAGAAAAGCCTCTGAAAAATATGTTTCTGGAATTTTTACTGTACAACCTTGAAAGCATAGCTGAAGTACTCAAGCAGGTGCAGTGTTATAATATTAGGCGAGGACTTACACTAAGCAATTTAGTATTAAAACTATTTTATTTCTTGTCAAAATCAGCATTTTGTCATGCTCATTTTCAAATGGTGCTCCCATTTTCCCTTTACATTATATAGTGTACAATCTTGGGAGGTGCTGTATCTTGTCATGTCCTGCCTATTTCACCTAACCAATTGATAGGCCTCGCATGAACAGATTTTAGGACCCAACGAATATAATGACTGAAGGATGATTGACAGTTGTTTTGGGTTTTTTTTGTCTGGGGCAAACACAACCCTCTCAAGCATGAGAAGCTAGACCCTGGCTTCTCAACTGCACCAGGAAGAGTGATCTGAACACACGCGAGCGCTCTGTGGTCTCCTGTGGTTGGCTCGCCGACTGCTCACAGAACAGGAAATGGCACCTGCGAAAAGGAAGCAGATTCGGATGGCTTTCTCCCTGAGGGATTTGCATCTCGCCCAGAATCAAGACACTATCACTTGACTGCTCATATTGTTCACAAAACTTTACTCAGTTTATTTCAAAACCCTCGGCCCTCCGCTTGCACAAAGAAAAGCTTGTGACCCTCATGCATATGGAAATGTGATCCCAGAGGACACAAAGCCTCAGTGAGGCTGCTTTGCAAATTCCTTCTCAGAGATCAGATAAAATCAAAGTCACCCCTGCTTTAAGCCTATAACAATATACTTGGCAACAAAAACGCACACTGTTCCCATCACCTTCATGACAGGCTTTCCCACTGACAGTTTTGCATGAACTATTTTATTATCACAATATTTATTAATAATAATAAAACTGACAAGGATAGCACCCTCCATTGGTAAACTCCATACAGCTAATGTCAACATGATATGGAGTGTAAATTCTGGTTACGTCCAGAATTGCAGAGGAGGTTTCTGTAGTGTAATTGTGATCATACAAAGTAAGCATGAAACTATTATACAGAAACTTATTCCTTTTTAAGGACTACTATATCCTCTGTTCAACTGTTACAGCTGCTATAGGTCAACAGATACTTTTCAAAGACAAAAAGTACTTTTTTTAAGACATTTTTGGAACATAAGGTCTGATCTATCTGTTCATGTTCAACATTTAGCTGAGTACAGTACAAGAATCCTTGTGGGACCCGTGCCTGTGTCCTGCAGGCGCTGAGGTTTCTTAGCTCACTTAGAAAGATATTCCAAACTACTCTCCCATGGAATATGTTCATGTTCTTGAGCTGTGCCCCAGAGCTCATTTAGATAATCGGTGAGAATTCTGAAGAGACCAGCCCTAACATTTTAAAATAAAATATGCAAAGAAACCAGCTGGTGTTCAAAACATAAGGGAAGGAAACACTTTTTGAGGGAAGTCACTTTGATTAAACAAAACCTTTGCATATCTGAAAAATATTGTTTTAGATGCGTATGAGGCTACGCGCACATAACAAACCACATACAAACTACTTAAAAACAGATGATGAAACGAAACCAGCTGCAATATACTATTTCATTCAGATTCAAATGTTTTCACACGAAGCCCTGCTGGCAAGCGTTCAGCTTGGGGCCACTCAGAATGAACAGGTGCGATTTCATTTATTATAATATTATAATTACAGTACCTTTCCACAACAGAGAAGCTCCCACAGTGATGAATTCCAGACAACTGGCCATCGGGGAAAACACAAGGAAGCATCTTCTTCATTTATACTCATGATTTATATAGGCACCTTCACTGCAGAACTTTTTTTACATTTTACAGTACTTATGTTTGAAGTCATTGTGAAAAAAACGGTCATTTTAGAACCCAGTAGATACCATAAATAATATATTTTATGTTTTAAATACCATTTATTTTTTTAAATAAACAGCTTGAATGCCTGCTGGCATATGGAAATCTCAATCTCTAACCAGGCAATGATGCAGTGCCACAGAAACGTCATAAGAAACTGGGAAGAAAAGCACCTTGTGATTCAGACAGTGATAAGGTGCAGTAGCTGTGCTCATCTGTTTCGAAGCTGCCCGCTTCAGTGTTTCCCTTTATTTGATCTTTTCACCGCTACATCAAGACTAAAACAGGACATTGTCACTTTAAGATTTATCCGAAGAACCATCAAATGTTTGGTCACCGATGTAATTGAGTAATCGCTTAAAAGCAAACACTTATTTTTTTAAAATTATTATTATTAACATTAAAACCAAACAGGAACTTTTGTTTTCAGCACGTTTAGGGCTGTCCCCCACACACACAGGCACACTTGGTTCAAGACGGGCCTGGTGGGGACCAGCTCTCTGTGGACACACTGCAGAACTGCTGCGCTGAATGTCACTGAAGAGGGCTGCAGACCTGCTGAGGCCCCTTTCAGCATATCGGGGGGGGGAAAGGGGAAGCATCAGAAAATTAGGAAACAGCTCAGCATACTGTGCTACGCATTCACTGATAAATTGCCTTTTTTTTTCTTCTATTCAGAAGAAAGTAGACATTCCGGGCAAGCTGCACGCTGGTCAGCCGATTTCAGAGCTACGGAAGTCAAGACTGTTACAGACGAGAGGCTGCACTACTGCGATCTCAAGAGCAGGGGTGATTTTATTTTAACACTGCAAAGCCCTATAGTTTGTAGCACTGAGGCTACAACAGGGACAGATGATTTGAAATCTCTCAAGCCACGCTTGGCTGAGAAACCCTCCTTTTGAATGCTTTAACCAAAGCTCATCGGATGCAGGTTTTTTTTAAACTTTTTTGTCAATCTACCGTACACCCTTCCTCCTCTCTATTTGAATAATAAACATCAGAAATAAATGAAAGTGGCCTTTGAAACGTGGCCTGCGTCTTGAATTAAACATTTTTTAGCCCGCTATGAGTTGGGAAACCTGATGAACATCAAAAAAGTATCGGCACAATATAAGGGCAACAGAATTAGTATACATGATACATTTGCAAATACTTTATTTTTAAAGCACAATGTATTGTCCTAAAAAATAAATGTATTGTGTCTCATTGATAAACCCTGCTTGCTGATGCAAACATTGGGAATTTAAAATTTGGAGCACATTTTTCACAAAGTGCTTTGAAAATTGTCGTCATGTTTTTCATAGAAAAACCAAATAAAATTGAGTAGCGTTTCTGAAAAATAATCCATTCGTTCCTTATTCACTACAGAACAGCATCAGAAAACTCTTACACTAAAAATAATTTACATAATATGATTTTCATCTTGAAAAACCATCATGCACGTCCCACCTGGGGTACAAAATTGGGTGATTAAAGTTCATAAATTAGAAACTTCTTAAAACTTAAGAATTTGATTTTAGACACATTTTACAATACTGCCTACAATATGCCAGTCTCGTGGAGATTCTATCACTTCAGATAGAAAGGCTACCATTTGTTTATGATATTGAAGCTGAAATAATCGTTTTGTTTCAAGTGATTTCACTCAGAAACCTACAAGCCTACAAGATGTTTTAGATGAAAAGCCGTTCTTGGCACACAAATTCCCAAACTTTCAAAAACTTCAACAAACGAAACAAGACTGAGGCTCATTCCGCAACATACAGAAAATTGCACAACATAACATTGATGCTGTGCTAGCGTCTCCTAGGTGCTAAAACGTCGGTTTTATAACCTTGCTACGTCTTTACTCAATCTACTGTACCTCCAGGTCAGATTCAGCCAAACACAGCGCATTATTTTTTATATATAAGACTTAAAACGGGCATTTTAGATTTTTGTTCTCGGAGATGTCTACAATTACAAGTTGCGGCATGCATTACTGTAATAAACACGCATTATGTGGGAGGGGGGTGCGGAGACAGGCTGCAGATCCAGAGATACAGTAGAGCAGCACACGGTATCTGTGCGTAATGATGATACGGGTTCCCTGCTGCTGCGGACATTGCCCATGCAGGAAGTCAGCCCGCATACAGTACTTCTCGGCTGACACTTCCTCGTTCACCCAGCGGACAACACTAGTAGTACTACCCACACAGTCACTGCAGAACAGCGCTCTGAAGCAAGGGCAGTGTCGGGTGCCTTTTTTAATCTAAAAGATGAAGAAGAAGAAAAAAACATCTCCGAGCGCTCAAGGGTTATTTTTTTTATAGTAAAAGTAAAATCATTTTTTTTAGTCGAAGTGAAGTACAGTAGTTTAAACGCTCGAGATAAAACCCAAGAGCCCGAAGAAACAGCTCGTACAGCTGTGAGTGGATTAAAGTTAAACAGTGGCGGGGATTTATTTTTTTTTTTAAAAAAAATCCCTCGGAGATAAAAGCCACGTGTGGTACACACATCCGAAGGCCTTCTGAAAAAACAGCCTGTCACGTAAACCCCTCGGACTTTCCTGAACTCTGTTCAGCCGACCATGCAGGCATTTGGTTACTTGTTAACTTATTTAAGCTTTTAATTTTTCACAGGAAATACAGAATTACGGGGCAGGCACTGACTGGGTCTGCTGTACATTGCATTTATAGCAGAGTTAGTTGTCGCCTTTCTTTATTTCAATCTGTTTCTGTGTTGTTTATTTCGGTGTTCCTTGACAGTAACGGAGAAACTGGGCGCCTATGCTGAGAAAGTCTTCTTGGGATTCCCCCGAACAAGCCCAAAATGCAATTTTTTTTTGACAATTTCTTATTCAATTAAAGCACCGCATCAAAAGCAACATGAGGTTAGTAAGACTAACATTGCTCAGACAACTATAAATGGGGCTATGCCATACATAAACAAAATGTGTTTATTGATTGATTGCATAAATCAATTATCTAGGTGACCGTTGCCAATTTTGGCAAGATTATTTTGCAGTTATGTCTAGGCCCAATGTATGGATATTATATCAGACAATGACTGGGAATGCAGTTTAGTGCTGAACGCAACATATTGTAAATTTGTTTCTAAGCAAAAACTTTTTCTTGTACACCTGTTTCAGATGTGTTGTTCGTTGTAGAGAAGACTTTTAAATGAGAAAAAAACTGTCACATGTATGAGTGATAATGTTTTTAATATTGAGTCATCTATTTTTGCTTCTGTTTGGAAGAAGTTAGTCAAATATGTGTAAATATATTGCAAGGCTGAAACACGAGAGATCTGAATGTGTCCTGCAGTGGCTTACTGTATCCCAGTCTTCCCAGCACACGAGACACATTCACAGTTCCTCAATCTCCCGTTCACCAGAAAAAATTAAGCTGTCTCCAAACATGAATTTTCTTTTTAATATTAATGTGAAAGAATTCCTGACCATGTTAAGATAAATATGGAAAATACTTTTTTTTTAGTCTTGAAGAAATCTTGGAGATTTGCAGGAATTTCATTTTGATGTTTCCAATAGCCGAAGAGCAACTTTCTCATTTCATGGGAAACGTCTTTACATGAAACCCCTGTTGTTATTTATCTTGTTACTCTTGCGATGTTTATTATTTTAGATTTTTTCAATGAGGTACAACTGTTCACTTTTGTGACATGAACAGAAAATAACGGACTGTAATAATTTAAAATAGTGTATCAGTATAGTAAGAGATGAAAGTTAAACAGACTAATGTTACTGAGAGAGAGTAAGAGTACTGACAGGAAATGTAACTGTGAAAGCTCTACACAACACAATTGTGCAATCCATCATTATAAAAAAACCTTAGAGTGTGTTCAGGATGTGACATTCAGGGCTTCCAATTTCTGATGTTTTTTTCCTCCTGAATACCTCACTTCAAGCCAAAATTATGTTTTTTAAGAGATATGTTTGCGCCGATTAAAAGACCAAAATGTGGTATCATGTGATTTCCAAGTTTTTTTTAACCATCCATTTCCTTATCTGTTTATCCAGTACAGGGTCAAGGGGAACCAGAGCCGATTCCAGTAAGCAGCGGGCCCAGGGCAGGGTACACCCTGGATGGAATGCCAGTTCATCACAGGGCACACACACAGACGAGCACACACTCGCACCAGGGCCAATTTTTTCAGAAGCCAATTAACCCACCAGAATGTTTATGGACTGTGGGAGAGAACCAAGCAGCTGGATGAAACCCGCGTGAACTCTGGGAAAACATACAATCTCGATGCAGACAGGACCCCAGGTCTGGAATTGAACCCAGGGCCCCAGTGCTGCAAGGCAGCAGTGCAAAACCACCACCATGCTGTCCCCCTTTTAAACCATTAGTAGTTAAACGTCACTTGAGATGTGTGAACTGTGTACTGTACATAGTTAAGGAAGTAATGCTGAACTGTGTTGAAGTTGTATGTGTCCACAGAGCTCTTGTTCAGGAAATTGGGGAAAAGTTACAGAGACACAAATGGTAAAACAATAAATTTGCTGGGTTAAGTGAAGTAACAATGTGTATGTTATACGAGTTTGGTAATGAGTACTCACTGACTTTTGCAGCTCACTGGGCCTGAAAGAGGCTTCGGCTGACACCTGGAGTTACGAACTTTGTGTTTTGAAGGTTGAATATAATTAATCAAACAGAATTAACTTGAACATTTAACTGACACATTTAATAAACAGTAATTATCAGTAGTCTATCGCATGTACAGTTTTGGACTTGCATGACCTATTTAAGAATATAGAATAGAATAGTATAATATATCTATATGTTTCAAGCTGTCTTATGCTAACAGTACAGTTTTTTATTAAGTGTTTCTGTCTCTGATCTGTACTCTGTTACACTGTATTTTGTCAACACCTGACTTTTTTTTCTTTTAAATAAGAAGTTCTTTACGAATACATTTTTATGCAGTTAGTAGATTGCAAGCCATTCAGTACCTGATCTGAGGGGGCAGTCCAATCCTACCTCTAGGAGTCACCTGTGTCTACGCGTTTTCAATCTAACCCCGTTCTCAACTACCCAGTGCCAAAACTTGGCATCTTAGCTGAACTAGTCAAATAGCTATTTCCATTTCCAGTGATGGTTTATAGAGACCTGCAAAACCTGCTTGGGCTGTAGCCCTCTAGGACCAAGACTGGATATTCCAACCCTTCACTTACAGACTCCTTCATATTTGTCCGAAGTTCTGGTCCAGGCAATCTGCCGCGTCTCCATGATAACCTGGACAGTGAGCCTCTCCACCTTCTGCCTGAAGACGGTCATAACAATCCCCATCTCCAGCTCTCTCTTTATCGAGCTTTTCTGATACTCGGTCATATTGGTTATGCTCGAGACCCCCGCCATCGTGCCACAGGAGAGCTGAAGGAGACAGAATGCAAAAACTTAGTGGATTTCCAGCAAAGGTCACAATCAAATAAAGATCAGACATAATGGAAAATGCTTAAGCTGATATAATATTACCTTTCTTCTAACTCAGAATTAATTAACTGACATTGTTATTACATAAAAAATCTGGATAAAAGTATACAGCATGTACAGTATTGTTAAAAAAACCTATTCACTTTAGCCTGTCTGGAAACAGAGTTAACAAAACAGAAAATTTGGGCTAATTCACTGGGCATTTTCCTTATTTTCAGAAACTGTTTCTACACCTGATTATAATTAATAGGTACTTTTAACATGCAGCCCAGAGACAGGATCAATGGTCCCACACAACAGTGATACAGTACAGTATATGTTTGCTTCTCAGTAAGTGACCACAGAGATATTTCTGCTGAATAACAAGCTGCCTAGTGTGAGTGGCCTCTTTACTTGTGTGTTCACCTGCATCCTGTGGTATTGTCTCTGCTGGGGAGTAAAGATAAACCTGCTTTTTCTAACTATCGGAAGCTCTTTCTCTTGCAAACTGACCTCTGGGAACCTGCCTGTTGTACATAGAGTAACACAGAATTACTTGTGAATTAAAGGGGAAAAGTAAATGGTTTATTGAAACATGTTTTAAAATGTTTACTCTCAGTGTGTTTCATAAGGCAGACCACAAATTCATCATCATACATTAGTCCATAAATTATTCATAATGTAAATTATAAACATTACTGATTAAATCAGAGATTCTAGCACTGTATTTGCTTGAACAAATAAATCAGGTGCATACAAACCATAAATTCATACAGGTGGGTTTATACACCAATCAATCTTTTAATTCCACTAAAGCAATCTACCGTGCATGCTAAAGTGTAACTAACATTAACAACATAACTAATCAAGACATCAAATCCAAATATTGTTTTTCACATAATTTGTACCGAAACAAAACAAAGTCCAAATCATTTTTAAGTCCCTCAGGGTTTAATGATCCAAGATCTAAAATCTATTTCTGTTTTCCGTTTTTAAAGTAATATCAACCCATCCTGAAGATTTGCGTATTATGGCTATTCCTGAAATGTGTTAAATGTTATAAATAAGCAAGGCTGTACAAGCTATTTGTGCTGAAGGGCCTCTAGCCATTTGTTTGCGAGTAGTTAAGTGATCACTATCACGATTCACTATTGATTCTGAAGATATGTAAAGGCTTTTGAACACTCAAGTCACATTTCCTCATAAGTTTTCTCTATTCAACAACTAAATATTTCACATCAGTTACATAGTATGACATTTTGTTAAGCATGGGAATGTATTTGATCACTTATCAATTCTTAAATTAAGTATTTAAGTGTATTTAATTTCTAATGGTGAACAAAGAGTTTTTGAAAATCTAATTTTATGCTGTTTGTCGTTCAAAGAAGTCTTACATTAGTCAAGCGAGACCTGCCTTCTCTACATCCTTGGTCCAGTGACCACTGAAAGAGTTTTATTAATGGTCTATGAAGAACATCTCGTGTTTCTGGAAGTACATTTGGTAGTATACCATTGCCCTGCCGACTTGTTCATCTTAAATTCTTCTGGGGCCTATATCACTTCTACCTATTTTTATGCTAATATCATTTAGCACAGTCCTGAGGTCTGTTGTTAATTTCTTCCTTGGGGTAAATGTTTGTTTTTTGAGCCATATCAATACAACCCTGACTTTTTAACTTGAGTCCACTGCCAAACACTATCAGTTGTAGAAGACAAGGGTTCTTAAGAAAGCTGTGAGACATAAGGACAAGAAGCGTGAAGTTGTGCATATCATTACACGTGAAAGATTGGATGCTGCCAACACGATCTCTGACAGCACGCCAGGAGGAGCAGGGTTAACCAATGTTTTATAGGTCGACATGGCGTTTCACTTACAGTAAGAGGAAATGCAAGTATAGGGAGTATAGAGAGCCTGTAATTATTTTTGTCATCTCTTTTACTAGTGTCATCGGAACCACACAGCCTTCTAACACCTGAAAGAGTCTGCAGCCAGAATGACCAGACTCAGCTCAGATGAAAGCATGGAGCCCAGAAAGTTTGCCTCCTGTTATGTGAAACCCTCAGACGGGTTTTTATTTATCTCCCATGTACCTCTATCATTTGCCTTGCAAATCTGCATCAGATGTTAAGGACCAGCCCATGTTGCATGCATAGAGTCAGTGGAACAAATAAGTAAGGCATTAACATGGAATTATTTGAATAATGTTGCTGCAGAGACTTGCACTATTACCCCATGCTGAGCTCCATGACCCTGAATGGCGTGTTTACTTTGGTGGGTCATGTTGAGTTAGTGGGAGCACACTTTTTTTTCCGGTTATTTAGGCGTACATAAACATTACAAAGGCAGAGGTCATTTTCCAAGACAAGAAGCTGATTTGAATGCATGATTAGAGATCTAATACAGAGGGAGATCTGTCCCCACAACCTAACAGAAAATAATTCTGATGTGATTTACAACAGATATGTTTCTAATTCTGAGCTCACTGTGTAATATCTGTCCTCACAGGTAGGCTTATCCTACCCCTGTGAGCACATAGTTAGCTAATATAAATAATATAGGCCTGAAATATTCAGAGCTTTTTTTTATTTAAATACAGCAGAAGTAGAAACATATACGTTATTTAAAAAAAAAAAAGAATTTGTTTAAAAAAGCAGCATCATTTTCTAATGTGAATTATGCTTTTCAAATGGGAAAGAGCTTTTCCTAGTAAACAATACTCTATGAAGCGAATACCTAGCATTTCTGTCAACATGTAGCTTTAGCACATTTGACTATGTGTAAAAAAGCAGACTGCTGAAGAGACCATTAGATGTGTAACAGTGACAAAGCCACAAAATACAACAGCTTCCCTTAGCAAAAGGGTGATGTCTTCTGCTGTCTTTTAATCAAACAAAATGTAAAGAAACCAAAATGATTTTAATGTAAATATACAATTAAGAAATAGTTGCCACGATTCTGTTCTGTGTCATCCACCCAGGAAAGTCTCAGTTATATTCTAATATAATTGTATACTTTTGAAGGATTTATAGGAAACCATACCTATAAGGAAGTGTTAATTTTAGTACACAAAAAATTGAGTGACAAAGTTATTTGCTTAATTTGATCAAATTGAAAAAAAAACAGAAGACACCAGGCTGTCTGGGAATTCAGACCCAGGTAACAGTTTTAAACCATGCTTTAAAAAACATATCTCAGATATCTGATCCCGACACAGAAGCTCAGATTTTGTTTTCCATGAAAGCTAGCCATAAGAACTGTAACTTTCTTTTCAAAATACATCTCAAGATCTAAGGTTTTTAAGATCCACCAAATTAAAACAGCATTATATGGAAACAATTAATTAACTGGATTAAACCTTAAGCTCTTATATGGAAATTAATTGCACATTTACTTGTGCATTCCTGCTGGCCGAAAACCATTGATGTTTCGTTCTGCTGTAATGCCTGTATGTCCACCTTACAAGACAAGCAGTGCTGATTAGAGTAATGGCACATCTCTCACTGACGTGCTGGAGCCCAGCCAGTTACAGGAGTCCCTGTTTTTCTTAATGCAAGAGATCTTGGACTGGATCATGACCACTGAGCCAGCTGTTAGCTCTCCTTTAGGATAATGCCAGAGCTGGGTAGTGGCATGACCCAGGCTCAAACTGGAGCTGTGTTCGTTACAGCCTCAAGCACAGAGAAAGCTGTCATGATTCATTAGTCAGGATCTGCTGGGTCTTTGACACAATGTCTGGTGGGAACATGCTGGGCACCTGCAGTGATGTCGGTGAGAGAAGAGCTGTTCTTTTCCAATCAGTGCTTAATCTCCTGCCTGGTGCTCTAAGACAAATGGCCACAAAGCCAGTCCATAACCAGCAGACAATTCCATACTGAGCATGTATAAAATAGAAAATGACCCCAGATCTATGGCCACCTACAAAGAAAATATTTCAAACTACTGCCCAGTTGCATTTCATAAACCATGTTTCTGCTTATACAAAAGTTTGCATTCTCGATCACAGTGGGCTCTAGCTGTCCTGTGAACTATATTTTGAACAGCAGTCTAAGTGAGATACCCCACTGTGGCTCTAAATCTCATGTATCCACCTCAGTTCCTGGAGCACTGCAAGATCTTCCAGTACATGCCTTCACTTAATAATGCAATCGTCTTATTTTCTCAGAATCTTTTGTTTTGCGTACAATAAAAAAAACTGCTATACCTCCTGTACAGTGCATAGGATTGAATATCTCTTAAATCATCAACTTAAGCTTAATTCCTGTCATTAGGCTTGCAGCTGACTAATCTTGAAAGAATCTTTTTTTTTCTTCAGATGAGGTTCCTGGTAGATGTTTTGGTACTGGTTCCTACACAATCAGGCTTGTGATCATTGGCATCTTGCCATTTCTCAAGTGTGTGTTTCATCAAATATATAGCACGTTGTTTGCCCGGTTTGGCTAATTCTATTTCCTGTAGTTACAATGAGCAGCATCCACTCATTTTTTGGTCTATTCCTGCAAACGCCTAATTCACTTCAGTAACGTGCAATGCAGAAAAATTCAGAACATTACAAAGACCATGCAGATGGCTTTGAAATGTTGGAAGTTCGAAGTCAAGGCTCACGTAAAAAGAAGACAAACTTCATGTTCCCCAAACACACTTTGTGCCCTAGTTAGGAAATCCAAGACAGAGGTCATGTTCAGAGACCATTTGGAGACAGGCCAGTGTCCATAAGTAGTGGCCAAAATACAATTCTCAAGAAAGACAGAAATGCACATTTATATACTGTAGTTCTAAGAAACGTTCCCTATCCAAAGTCATCTAGAACACTGAAGCTTGCTTAGCATTTCCTCTGTATGACTTCCCACCATGCAACCATCCATCTTCACACTTTTCAAGGGCTTCCTATTTCACATGACTCCCTGATTCAAGGATGTCAAGCTGCTTGTCCTCACCTGCTGCTCCTGTCTGCAACCTGCCC